GTGTTTCCCTGGCTGGGCCTGGCAGGTGACAGTAACAGAAAAAAATAGAGAATAGAGAGACCATGGGAATACAAAGAATTTTTGAGATGTCTGACCAACTGGGTCCAGATTGGTTAGGGAGGAAAATGTATCCTGATGGGGTGGAGGATTGGGAGAGTAACAGTGGCTGCAATGCTTGAGATTAGGACTTCATAATCTTTGGGGGTGGGGCCCAGGCATCTGTATTATTGAAGCCACCTCAGGTAATTCCAAAGTGCAGCCAAGGTTAGATTAGAAGGAGAAAGGCTGGGTACCTGGGTGGCTCAGTTGGTTAAGCGTCTGCCTTTGGCTCAGGTCATGGTCCCCGGGTCCTGGGATCGAGGCCCGTGTCAGGTTCCCTGTTCAGCGGGGAGTCTGCTTCTCCCTCTGCCCCTCCTCCCACTCATTCTCTTAATTTCTCTCTCTCAAATAAATAAAATCTTAAAAAAAAAAAAAAAAGGCTAACAGATTGGAGTACTCTACCCTGAGAGTTCAGAATCGTGACCTTTGAACAGTTTCAAGGAACAAGTCTAAGGCAATGATAGCAATTGGCGGAAGTGGAGTGGAAATGAGGGTAACTGGAATTGATGACATTGAATTTGAGACTGAGGAACTGTAGGGTCATCTTGAAATGCCTTTCATTAAATCAGGATAGTGATTTCACTAAAGGAAAAACCAAGCGTCTCTCTAAAGGTAAAATATGTAAGAAGGGCAGCAGTTGCGGTCAGCAAGGCTTGGGGAAGGCCCTGGCCCAGTTGTTCAGTACCCTCTCATCTTCGATACCTCGTCCCCTCCACAGCAAGGCAGCTGAGATGACCTGGGTGAAGCTGAAGCGGGGAGAAGTGGCAGATTTGGCTGGAAGGGCAGCTGTTAGATAAATTAGCCAAGGTTTTAATGAGCTTCACATTCCAGAAGTAAGCTATGACTTGTTCTCCTCGTCTCATTGCTATTTTGGTGTGTGTATGTCTGTCAATGTGTGTATATATGCACACACACACTTAAGGAAAAAGTGTTACTGATAATACACTGACTTTAGGATACAGAAAAAGTCCAGTTAATCACACTCTCTTGTTTGTACTTTAATGTTACTCTTCTGAACTTCCCTGAGTTATGGGGCGGGGGCGGGTAGGTGTAGGAATGAGAGACTGAACAAAGCTTCAAACATTTCTTTTCTTCAAACATAGACAACTACAAACACCTATTTCTTTCCTGTCATTTTAAAAAGGTCAGGAAAACACCTCATGAACAAGACCTCAGAATTTCCATATGTTGCATGGGGTTTAAGGTCAGGATTTGGTGTCTAAGCCTTGCCAGTCCCTCCTTTGCGGTTCTGGCTGTAACCATAAGAGCCCCGAGGAAGAAAGCACCACTCAGCTCATAGCTGGAAGAGACCCCCCGACTGCATCACTTCTCAGCTAAGTTGTGATGGAACAACTTATGTTCCCATCACCCCCTACCTTTAGTAGAGAAGGCGTGGCTCAGGAAAGCCCCAAGTCCAGTTTCTCACCTTCTTTGGAAGAAAGGATGACAGGCCTGCACCCTAATAGAAAAAGTGATGGCACGTTTTCTGACCTGTTAATATAGTAACTCTCTTCATTTGTAAAAGAGAGCCCAGTATCTTGGGCTCACTTCAATCTAGTTAGCAACTCCTTCTCCCTCAGGACAAGGAAGGAGGTAGGTGGGGAGTAGAATTTCCTAAATAACTATGAATTCAGTCCACTTAACCAGGCCAGAGCCTTCAGTGCCACACAAAGTGTGTGGGTCTTTTGGTTTTAGAGCAATTCAGTGCTATCCTGAAGAAAAATTTCCTATGTCCTCATATTTTTTTAAAAAAAATTACAAGGTGCTAAGCATGTTAGGGAAGTGTCTTGAACCTTCCAGATCGACTCCACTACTAGCCGAGTCACTGAGTGACCTCATTTGTTACGCTGTAGAGTACAAACCACCCAGCTGAGCCCTGGCCCACCAAATCAGGATATGTAAGAACATGGCGGTGCTTTTGAGTCACTGAGTTTTGGGGGTAATTTGTTATGCACCGATAACTGAAACATCTACTGTCCACCACCCATCACCTAAAATAATTTTGCCTTCCTCACCATTCATGTTAAGTATTTACTGAGAACTTTTTTCCACTTCAGAACCTCTCTCCACTGTTATCCAACTTCACGTTTCATAAGTTCATTTTGAGGTCTCATTTCTTTGATAAACACTGATCTGCTATGACATTTAATTACAGGTCATGCTATGAACCCTGCTTCTTGGAAGCTATTAGTAACTGGAAGCATTCCTTCTTCACTTTTAAACTAGAAACACTTCTTCCTCACTTTTAACTTGTGCAGTCATGAGAAGACCTGCATTTTACATCTCAACTGGTCAGATGCTTGTTAGAAAGCATTTTTTGTTTCAACTCTTACTGAAATCTTTCAGTAAAATGTTCTAGGTTATCACTCTGAACCATAGTTGTGATTGAGTGAACCGAAAAGTACATACCTCAGAAATGGTATTAACATTTTTGTCATTTGATGTTTTCTTGTAACTTACTAAGAGTGGGATCCCATAAGTTTATCCCAGTTACCGAAGGTTGTATTGAACCCCCCTTTTCTTTTTAAAATCCTGCCATGTATCCTCTGGGCAGCCAAGAATAGCCTCTTATCAGACATCCTTGTTATGGGGACCCATGAGAAGTTTCTCAGGTCTTAGGAATACTGGGGTTTCTCTAAAGCAGTTAGTTTGTTTTTATCTTCTAATAATAGTGAACACAGAACTGATTTTTGTGTTAGATACTAGGAAGCTCAGGGCCCACCTTTACCAACTGTCACACAGGTTCACGGAATCATTTTACTAACTTCACCCTGGCTCCATCTGATTTCTTCCACTGTCCTTTTCCTCTCTCCCTAATTTCCTCACTTAACAAACTAGTTGTGTTATAGGCATTTTAATAAGTGGTCTTAAAAGCAGTGTACATCAAGATGGGGTGTTTCAGAAATCTTTCAAGCTCTTAACAGTATTTTGAAGGCCCTTCTTTCATCTACACTCTACCATGTCCGCACTTTGTATGCTTTGTAATGCTTCTCAGTTGAGGAGTCAGGGTATTTCCTCATAGTCAGGAAGCCTTAGACGAGTTCCAGTAAGTGAACCTTCAGTGACACAAACCAAAAGTCACTAAAACCTGCTTCTCAACAGAACTGCTTTGCTTAAAAAAACCAAGGAAAATACATCCGTTATTCAAATATCCAGATATTTGTAGAAGGCTGGGAACACTAAGACTTCCTTCTGACCTTTACCTGTAATTATACTTTGTTAGTCTTCTTTAGTTTTGATGATTTAAAATAAATTTCTGAAGATCATATTTGAGATGAAGAAACTGTATTAGCAGTTTCAGTTCCTTAAACATTAACTAAATGATTTTTAGTTGAATCATTTCAGTTTATTTCACTAAGTACTTTGTAATTGTTAAAAACTCTGTCTTGTTCTAAGTGGCTTACAAAAATGCATATAATGAAATAAAATTAAAAATGCATCTGTGGAGACAACAAGAGAGCATGTTAAAATGTAACTAAAAGTAAATACTGAAAACACATACATCTAAGGTGGCTTAAGGACAGAGCCAGACTTAGCACTTAGGCTCAGTTCTCTTTCCTTAGCACTGCCTTCTAATCCAGAAAGCTCTAATGCTGCTTTTTCTGTGGCAAAGATTAGAGGTCACTAATGTTGTTTTACTTGTAATACAAACTGTAACATCACAAATATGTCATTGCTGCAGTTTTCAAGTACCAAATAATTAAACCTATAGTAGCATTCATGAGTCAGAAACCATCCCAAAAATCATATGGTAGGTAAGAAGTTGATCCACACCTTGACCCTGAGAAAAACTGGGTAAGTCCTCAACTTTCTGTGCACAGAGACATCATACCAAATGATTAACAATTCTGAGTGTTAACGGCAGAGTAGCATGAGTTGAAGCAATGTTCTGAGAATGACTCCTTCTGGAAGAATATGCAAAGGGTAAAACTATTACTTCTTCTTCTTGTTTTGGTATTTAATTCTTTCATAGCGGGTCCTTATTTTACCCAGTGGAAGGCAAAACTTAATATTCTTGGAATGAAAGTTTTTCTGTAAAAGAGAACAGATAAGATACTTGCCTAACTCCACCTACGAATGTCATTGTCAGTTCTATTACTAGGTTGGTTATGATCCCAAGCAATATATACAAAATACGAAATTTTGTATTTATTGAAATCCCAAGCAGTTTGCTGGGAAAAGAGAGGTTCCATAAATAATGATATTAAAGGAAGAACCCACAAAGAATAATTACGAGAAATGGCCAACACTCCTTAGGTACCACAAATACATCAGTCAGGATGTATACTGCTACTGGAGATGAAATAAACTGAACCAATTTAAAATTATTTCTGACCAGGTTAAAATTATACTGATTTAATAAGCCTAATTCACCTGGAACACAACATTGACTCTGGATAAAATTAATCTTTCCTCCCGTTTCATTTCCTAAAGAAAGAAAACAGTTCTCTTGCTTCGTCCACCTTTAACCCAAACTTTCTAGGAAGTCTTCATTACCTTTTTAAGTCCTTTTTCTATAGCTGCATTTAGTTCTTCTGTCATATACTAACATACCTTTGCTCCAAGAATACTCTGGTTTCAACTGTGACTTTTAATGCTCACAACAAGCAGATTTCTGTATCCCAGCTTCACCAATTTTCTGGACCTGAACTTAGAAAAGGGCATTTTGGGTATACTGTCTCCACTCTACACACAAACACACCTGGCATTTCTGGTATACAATCTCCCCCTACACACTAACATACACATGCGCGTGCTTACTCTACAGTATTGTTTAGCTTTGATCATGTAATTTTAAAGTTTTTTGTATATGTTAACAAACTTTATACCTTCTAAATGTTTAATTCAATTTTCTTCAAAAAACCAAGTGTTGAAAACTTTACAAAAGTGTTATTCATCTTAAAATGGTTGAGGTTTCCCTTTTTCTCCCTCAAAGGGTCTAAGCATGGGTGGGTTTTTTGTAGACACACCTGTTTTTATCCCAAAGGGTATATGATTGATTTTCCCTCAAGTCAACTTTTTTCAAACAGGGCCAGTCTATATTAATTTGTGTGATGATGTTAATTTTCAAAACATCTTGAGTAAATAAAGGGAGATATAAAATACTGTGGCTTGCTTGGTGAATCTTAATTGCGAAATTTCTTCTTCTTTCGAAACTTCTTTCCTGCTGCATTTGCTGCTTTTTCAGCCATGATCTCTGAGTACTTCCTTCGGTTATATCTAAAAAGAAAACCAAACTTTTAAGTTCTGAAGTATGATAACAGAAGTTAATGTAATGGGGGTGGTGATGGGGTGGTGTAACTACTAAATCTCCAAAAATTGTTTGCATTTTCACTATTTTAGCATATTTGTACTAAATTCCACCATGTGGAGCCATATTTGGAGCTGGGGGACTGAGCAGTGACCAAGACAACCATAGTCCCTACCCTTGTAGAGCCTGCAGTCTAGTGAGAAAAAAATGGCAACTATAAGGGAGGGCTTTTGAAAACTTTCAACCACTGGAGGCCCATGTACCATATCCAGTTATCAGATGATATCAAATGCTTTAAAGATTTTTATAGGATGAAAATGTAAAAATAGCAGACTGATGTAGAAGCAGGTATGAGGCTCCAACTATCTTTAAGCCAGACATTAAAGCCAGACATTAAAGAGATCTGCACTAAATCATTTTTGTTTTGTTCATGAAAATATATGTCAATGTGTAATGGGATGTTTTATTTTAAAAGGAATCAATAAATATTTTTAAAGTTTTTTAATTTTAATTGCCACTGTGGTAAATATTGATAAATGTGGTCCACAGAAGTTCAAAAGAAGGGCTTATCAGTTCAGTTTGAACCTAATCAAGGATGGAAAAAATGAGATTAGAGCAGAAATAGAGGCTAAAAAAACAAAAAGCCAGACTCATTAAGAAAAAAGAGAACTCAAAATCAGAAATGAAGAATTAACAGACGCCACAGGAATACAAAGAATTACAAGAGGATACTATGAAAAAGTATATGCCAATAAATTGGGACAATCTAGAAAAAAAATGGATTGCTAGAAACAATCTTCTAAAACTAAACAATCAGGAAGAAATAGAAAATTTGAACGATCTATTACTAGTAACAAAACTGAATCAGTAATCAAAAGACTCCCAACAAAATTCAAGACCAGATGGATTCACAGCTGAATTCTTCCAAACATTTAAAGAAGAGTTAATACCTATTCTTCCCAAACTATGCCAAAAAAGAGAAAAGGAAGGAAAACTTCCAAATTCATTTCACGAGGCCAGCATTTCTCTAATACCAAAGCCAGACAAAGACACTACAAAAAAAGAAACCACAGGTCTATATGCCTGATGAACAAAGATGCAAAAGTCCTCAACAAAATATTAGCAAACCGAATCCAACAATACATTAAAAACATCATTTACCACGATCAAGTGGGATTTAATCCATGTAAGCAAGAGCAGTACAATATTTGCAAATCAATGTACATTGACAAGAAAAGAATAAAAACCATATGATCATCTCAATAGGTGATCAAAAAAAAAAAGCAAACCATCTGCTGAGGTGTCTGGGTGGCTCAGTTGGTTAAGTGTTGGGACTCTTGATTTTGGCTCAGGTCATGATCTCAGGGTAGTGAGATCAAGCCCCGTCGTGGGCTCCCTGCTGGGTGTGGAGCCTGCTTAGGATTCTCTCTCTCTCCCTCTGACCACCCCACCCCCTGGTATCTTTTAAAAAAAGTCAAAGTACAACATCCATTCATGATTTAAAAACTCTTTTAAAAATCTATAAAAAACTTATCAAACTCAACACCCAAAGAACAAATGATCCAATCAAGAAATGTGCAGAAGACATGAACAGACATTTTTCCAAAGAAGACATCCAAATGGCCAACAGACACATGAAAAAGTGCTCAACATTGCTCGGCATCGGGGAAATCCAAATCAAAACCTCAATGAGATACCACCTCACACCAGTCAGAATGGCTAAAATTAACAAGTCAAGAAACGACAGATGTTGGCGGGGATGCGGAGAAAGGGGAACCCTCTTACACTGTTGGTGGGAATGCAAGCTGGTGCAGCCACTCTGGAAAGAGGGTCCTTAAAAAGTTGAAAATAGAGCTACCCTACGACCCAGCAATTGCACTACTGGGTATTTACCCCAAAGATACAAATGTAGGGATCCAAAGGGCTACATGCACCCCGATGTTTACAGCAGCAATGTCCACAATAGCCAAACTATGGAAAGAGCCAAGATGTCCATCAACAGATGAATGGATAAAGAAGATGTGGTATATACATACATACATACACACACATGCACGCGCGCACAATGGAATATTATACAGCCATCAAAAGGAATGAACTCTTGCCATTTGCAATGACATGGATGAAACTGGAAGGTATTATGCTCAGCGAAATAAGTCAATCAGAGAAAGACATGTATCATATGATCTCATATGAGGAATTCTTAATCTCAGGAAACAAAGGGTTGCTGGAGTGGTGGGGGGTGGGAGGGGTGGGGTGGCTGGGTGATAGACATCGGGGAGGGTATGTGCTATGGTGAGCGCTGTGAATTGTGTAAGACTGATGAATCACAGACCTGTACCTCTGAAACAATACATTATACGTTAAAAAAAAAAAAAAAAGGAAGAGAAAAATGAAGGGGGGGAGAAGTCGGAGGGGGAGACAAACCATGAGAGACTATGGACTCTGAGAAACAAACTGAGGGTTCTAGAGGAGAGGGGGTGGGGGGATGGGTTAGCCTGGTGATGGGTATTAAAGAGGGCACGTTCTGCGTGAAGCACTGGGTGTTATAGACAATGAATCATGGAACACTACATCAAAAACTAATGATGTAATGTATGGTGATTAACATAATAAAAAAAAACTCAACAAAGTGGGTTTAGAGGAAACATACCTCAACACAATAAAGGCCACATATGAAAAATACACAACTAACGTGATACCCAATGGTGAAAAACCGAGAGCTTTCCCCTCTAAGATTAGGAACAAAACAAGGATGTCCATTCTCACTGCTTTTATTCAATATAGTACCAGAAATCCTAGCTGCAGCAATTAAATAAGAAAAATAAAAGGCATCCAAATTGGGAAGGAAGAAGTAAAACTGTCAGTATTTACAGATGACATGACACTACATAAAGAAAAGCCTAAAGACACCACCAAAAACTATCAGAATAAATGAATTCAGTTAAACTGCAGGATACAAAATTAATATACAGAAATGCTGTGTTTCTATACACTAATAACAAAGTAGCAGAAAGAAAAGTTAAGAAAACAATCCCATTTACAATTGTACCACAGAAAGAACAAAATACCTAGGAATAAATTTAACCAAGGAGATTGATAGCTGTAAGACACTGTTGAAAAAAATTGAAGACAACACAAACAAATGGAAAGATATCATGCTCATGGAAGAATTAATACTCTTAAAATGTCCATAGTACCCAATGCAATATACAGATTCAATGCAATTCCTAGCAAAATATCACAATAGCATTTTTTGCAGAGCTAGAACATATAATCCTAAAATTTGTATGGAACCACAAAAGACCTCAAATAGCCAAAGCAATCTTAAGAAAGAACAACAAAGCTAGAGGTATCATAAACCCAGATTTCAAGATATACTATAAAGCTATAGTAATCAAAACAGTAAAATACTGGCACAAAAACAGATCAGTGGAACAGAAGAGAGCCCACAGATAAACACACACTTACATGGTCAATTAATCTATGACAAAGGAGGCAAGAATATACAATGGAGAAAAACAGTCTTTTTAATAAATGGTGTTGGGAAAACCAGCTACATGCAAAAGAATGAAACTGGACCACTTTCTCATACCACACGCAAAAATCAAAATGGATGAAAGACCTACATGTCAGACCTAAAACTGTAAAACCCCTAAAAGACAACGTAGGCACCAATCTCTCGGGACATTAAGTCCTAGCAATAAAATATTTATGGATATGTCTCTTCAGGCAAGGGAAATAAAATTAAAAATAAACAAGTGGGACTACACCAAAATAAAAAGCTTCTGCAGAGCAAAGGAAACCAATAAAACAAAAAGGCAACCTACTGAATGGAAGATTCATGTGCAAATGATAAGGAGTTATATCCAAAATATTTAAGTAACCTACACAACTCACACCAAAAAACCAAACAATCTGATTAAAAAATGGTCAGAGGACCTGAACATTTCCCCAAAGAAGATATACAGAAGGGCAACGCACACATGAAAAGATGCTCAACATCACTTATCACGAGGCAAATGCAAATCAAAATCACAGTGCGACATCACATCATACCAGTCAGAATGGCTGATATCAAAAATACAAGAAATAACAAATGTTGGCAAGGATTTGGAGAAAAGGAACTTTCATGTACTGTTTGTAGGAATGTAAATTGGTGTAACCACCATAGAAAACAATGTGGAGGTTCCTCAAAAAATTAAAAATAAAAATACCATATGACTTAGTAATTCCACTACTGGGTATTTACCGAAATAAAACAAAAACACTAACTCAAAAGGATATATGCACCCCAGCATTATTTACAATAGCCAAGATATGGAAGCAACCCGTGTCCCATCAATAGATGAATGAATAAAGATGATGTGAGACACAGACAGACACACACACACACACACACACACACACAATGGAATATTACTGAGCCATATAAAAGAATGAAATCTTGCCATTCAGGACAACATGGATGGACCTAGAGGGTATTAAGCTAAGTGAAGTAAGTCACACAGAGAAAGATAAATACCATATGATTTCACTTATAAGTAGAATCTAAAAAAGCAAACAAAACAGACTCTCAAATACTAGTCCGAATGCCTAGTATCAAAAAGAAGTAACAAGTGTTAGTGAGGATGTGGAGAAAAAGGAACCCTTGTGCTTTTGTTGGTAGGAATGTAATTTGGCACAACCACTATGGTTGCGCCAAAACAGTATGGAGGTTCCTCAGAGAGAGACAGAGAATAAACTGGTGGTTGCCAGAGGTGGGGGATGGGTGAAATAGGCAAAGGGGAATAAAGAGATACAAACTTCCAGTTATACAATAAGTCATGGAGATGAAAAGCACAGTATCGGCAATACCGTCAATGATATTACAACAGTGTTGTATGGTGACAGATGGTGACTACACTTAGAGCAGTGAGCATTTTGTAATGTATAGAATTGTCAAACCCTACATTGCATACCTGGAACTAATGGAACACTGTAAGTCAATTATACCTCAACAAACAAAACCAAAAACCACATACAACACAGAAAATCACATTTTCTCCTGTATATTACACTTACTTCTTCTGTCCCAAGACATTCCTACTAATGAACATATGACGTATTAAATACATTCAATGAAGTTCCTATCCCAAAGTGTTCAGAGGCCAGAAACCTCTTAAGGAGGTTGTAGAAGGAATTAAAATATTCCATGGAGATGGGCTAGTAGAGTGTTTCACATAGTGTGATACATAAATTTAGGTGGTAGACAATATTTACTTTAAGCAATGTATTTATCTTCATGGACATTATAAAAATTATAAGCCAACAAACCCATTTACAGTAGACAATATAAAGTTTCCTTTTAAAATAAAGCAGGCAGCATACAGATAATACAAACATTGTGAAAATGGTACTCAGTGACTGAAGTATGGGAACAATGAACTAAGAACACTACCTCTAACCTGCAGTTTTGAGTTTCATTCTACAAAATTTCTAGTTTACTCTCCCAACTTCCTCACGCTATTATTTTTTAGTGAAAGCACTATCAACGCTGCTGTGATTTCTGAGATTGCTATCATCAAGATTACAAAATACAGGTCAATTTTTAACCAGAACATAGTTAACACAGTAAACAAAGACTTAATCAGCTTGCACCATGCCTGTGTGGGGATGGAGAAAAAGGCTTGAGAGATAGTTAGGAAATGGGAGAGACTGACAGTATGAATGTGGACTGAAGGAGGAGGTGTCAAGGACTTGCTGATGGATGGATGGTGATGCTATTCAGTCATGAGATACAGAGCACTGGGAGAGGATTAGATTGCACAGGAAAGGCCAAGTTAACTCATAGAGGTGCTTATGAGAAACCCCTGGATGTTCCTGAGGCAGCAGCTGGATATGTGGGTCTAGACTCAGGAGCGATCTGGACTACACATCCTGCATTTGGAAGCCAACAGTATATACATTATAATTAAAGCCCTGCAGGGGATGAGATTTCCAAGGAGAGAGTAATAAGCAAGAAAAGAGCACCGCTTATTTCTAAAAATTTTTACCATTACCCAGACTAATTAAATGGCTTACATAAATAACACTTGTGTTAAATCTGTTTTCCATGCTGACAAAGTTTTTAAAACCCTGAACAGTTCTTTTCACTTTTGCTATTAAGCCAATCTGGAAGTTCAACAAGGGTTTCTATGTGAGGTATGCTTTTAAATCTCCTATAATATATACATAGCAGCTTCAAGTACATTTAAACATATTCCCAAATGCTCCCATCTTAAAAAAAAAATCCTCCAACTCCATGCCCACTACTAGTCTTGCCTCTCTCCCTCTTCTCAAACTTCAAAGAACTGTCTCCATTTCTTCTTTTCAACAAACTCTCCAATCCTCTCCAGTCTGGTTTCCTCCTCATCACTCCCCTAAAACTCCTGGCAAGAATGTTTTGACCTCCATGTATATCCAAAGGAAGTTTTTAGTTTTTCTTTCCTTTTTTTTAGTTTTATTTAAATTCAATTAATTAACATACAGTGTATTATTAGTTTCAGAGGTAGAGTTCAGTGATTCATCAGTTGTATGTAACACCCAGTACTCATTACATCACATGCCCTCCTTAATGCCCATCACCCAATTTGATCTCTCAGCAGCAATTATTCCTGTTAACCACTCCCTCCAGTTTGTATCTGCTCGAAGTATTCTCCTCCTTTGACTTCTGTGACACTATGCCATCCTGGTTTTCTTAATAGCCTCTTAGCTATTCTTTCCTAGTCTCCTTTGCAGACTCATTCTCCTCTAGCCAGTCAAATATTTTCAAGCTTCCATCTCAAGCAGTGGTTCTAAACTGGGAATGCTTATGCCCAACAGGGCACATGTGGAAATGTGTCGCCCGTTCATTTCTGTCACAAATTGGGGATGGGGTGCTACTGGCATCTAGTAGGTAGAGGCCAGGGATGTTGTTAAACATTCTACAATACACAAGACAGTTCCCCCTAATAAAGAATTATCCCATCCAAAATGTAAATAGTGCTGCTGTTGACACTGTGCTAAAGCCATTTAAAAATTACTTGAAATTTTAAAGTTTATGTATATTCTAAAGGAAAACATACATAATACAAAGTGAAACATAAATTCCTTTACCTTCTGAACTCAGAATCAGCCAGCAATTCTTCCACAATAGTTCTCTTCCTTTGTTTTTTGGGAATTCGTGAATGGTAGAAGTCAGCTGGATTGTCAACAATGGTTCCAATCTATGAGCAATTGATTGAAATAAGTCATGAAATACTTGAATGGTAAATTGCTTTCATATTTCAGGGTAGCGCTAACAAAGTCTATTTACAGAAAGGAATGGAAAACACAACTTAAATGATATCAATACTAAAGTCAATGTGCCATTTTTTAAAGCAAAAATAAGTCACCTATTCAATTGGCACTGGGTCCTACTAATGACATTTCATTAGAATTTACAATAAAAGGCCAAAAATCCTTTTATATAATTTAGCGCTAGGCAGGACAGTAAATTCTTGATGAACAGTGTAACTAGAAAAGTGGGACAGAGAATACAAATTCTTTTTTTAGTCTCCCAATTTAATAAAATTGACACATAAACTCTACTATACACCTATTTGGTCCCCTAGGTCATCATAAATGCTACCAGCATAGAACCTTCTTAGTAACCACTCTGCATTTGTTCCTACATTCAACCAAGTAAAATTTACAGTGTCCACTATGTGCCACGTACTGTGCTAAGTGTTTGGGAAATAAAGACAAAGAATATCTGGTCCCTGCCAGCAAGGAGCCCATAGTCTTAAGGAAAATCCACAGTCGAGTAACTAAAAGATTAAAGCATAACATAATTATTATGCTAAACAAAACACTATAGACGCCCTCAAAAAAAAGTGACCAACTCTACCTAAGGGAGGTCAACGTTCCTCCAAGTGTGCTGGAGCTTAAGAGGGCTATGTGACAGAAGAGCTGGTGAGCTGGTCTGAGTGCAGACTGTACAGACTCTATCCTACAGGTCATAAAGAATCACTGAAGGTATCACTGAATGTTATCTGTGATATCACTGAGCAGAGGTGTATCATGAACAGACCGCCTTTTTTTTTTTTTTTAAAAAGAACAGATAACTGGCTACAATGTGGAGGATGGACTAGAAGGGAGAGCAAACCTGGAGGTAAAGGACTATTAGACTAATTCAGGTAAGTGACAAGAAAGAACAGAATGAAGGTGACAGCTACCAGAGGGTGAATCATCTGGATTTTCATCTGGAAACACTTTGAAAACCAACTTTTAACTTATTTTCAGCATTTGCCTGGGGATGCCTCTTTATCTGGAGAAGAAGAGTTTGGTGCAAATGATTCCCTATTTCCTCCTCCATCATGTAAGGCTTCTTGCTGTTAGGCTAATACTATTCATATATGGTATACCCAACTTAGAGGTTCCGTAACTTTTAGAGGTATGACCTGGAAACTTAGTTACCATCTGCAACACCTTCTCTCTATATGGAATGCCGTTACAAGCTGGTGGCCAAAAGGTTTTCTGAATTGGGTTCTGCCCATTATTATACAGCCTCAGCAGATGTGCCCTATAAATATTCACCTATTTAAAGAGTAAACAGTAAGAACACTATAATGCCTTCCAAACTAAAATCCACACATCACCACCATTATTGTTTGTTTCATACCTGGAAGTACTTGGGGAAACCATCCCTATCATTTTTCTTGTAAAACCTTTTTGGGTCCATGCTAGCTCTCATCTTCAGTGCTTTGAGATCATTTTTTAGTTCATCTGTCAGTTCTGGAGCTTTCATACCAAACCAGCCATCACCTGCTGTTTTCTGTCGTTCTTTCTGAAATTCAGATTTCAAAAATAATTAAACAGAAAATTCTAACTTTAATAAGCAATGTATAAACTATACCTCATTCCCTCCAAAATTATATATACAAAAAACTTCATGAATTAAAAACAAATGAGGTTACTTAACAGAATGTATTAGTCCCCAGATTCACTTTTCATAAAAGAAGTTAAATCACAGTAAGTGTTTTCTTTGGTCAATTAGGCACAGTATTATCAGTTTCATAAATGAGGGCTCCTTAAAATTTATATTTTCTATCTTAGTAAGAACTGCTGACTTGCAGGGGCGCCTGGGTGGCTCAGCCGGTTAAGCGTCTGCCTTCAGCTCAGGTCATGATCCTGGGGTCCTGGGATCGAGCCCCGAGTCAGCTCCCTGCTTGGCAGGGAGTCTGCCTCTCCCTCTCTCACTGCTGCTCCCCCAGCTTGTGCTCTCTCCCTCTCTCAAGTAAAATAAATAAAAATTAAAAAAAAAAAAAAAAAAGAACTGCTGACTTGCTGGGAGAACAATACACAGCTTCAATTTTTATTGTGCAATACAGCCTACACAAGAGATAATGTATTAAAACATTTTCAGTTCTGGAGCTTATATTTAAATATTAACAATTTTATTCAGTCACCAAGGTGACTCAAAGTCACTCCAACAAGTCCAGAAATCTGTATTATTTCTACAAGTTAAAAAAAAGTTATATTTTTTGGAAACTCCTAGCAAGTTATTTACTTAATTTTATTTTTATTTCATTCATACATTATGGAGTGTCTACCATGTGCCAGCATATTCCATATTAGTGATGAGAGATTACTGGTGCACCACCCTCAAATTTCCTTCAAGCTCTCTTAATAACTTCTTTACACTTATTAGTTGAAATGGCAGATGGAAACAATCCCCTACTTTTACAAAAGAAAAGAGTTTCCTATCCTCTCACTGGGCAGACTACAGAGACCCGGGTTTTTAGGTGGCTACATTAAGGTCCCTACAAAGGCCTGCAACAGAGCTCTTAGCTCTTGGTGAACAGTACCTATAAGCCAAGAAGTATGGACAGTGACCTTATATGCTGGCTGTCACTGTTTTAAGAAAGGGGGCGGTGGGGGGAAGCTGTTCTCTATGTGCACCACTTGGTGCACTTTCACTTTGTGAAAATCTATATAAAATGTGTTTATGGAACTATATTTTATGGGCCCTTAAATCTGTGGTAACTTTCTTTGCAAATATATATTTTTTAAGATTTTATTTTATTTTTATTATTTTTTAAAATTTAATTTTTTAAAGTAATCTTTACACCCTATGTGGGGTAGAACTCAAAACCCTGAGATCAAGAGTCGCATGCTTTACTGAATGAGCTGGCCAGGTGCCCCGAAAATACATATTTTTAAATTATACAACCATGTTGTATAAGCTGAATGTATATAGTCAAACACACCTCAACAATCTAAATTATGAGAGTCACTATACTTACTCTGCGTTTTTTCTGAAGTTGATGCTTTGATTCACTATATGGTGGGACACAGTAGTTTTTTTCAAAATCAGGAGTAATGATGGCTTTCTGCAAAAGCTATAAAAATATTAAAGTGGTTTTAAGATAGTATCAGAATACCATATAATTTTTTCCAACATCTTTTGCCTTATAAGAGAAATATCTCCCACACTGAAGACTACTCCAAATATATTAACCCTCTTTATACACAACCATACTACTGCAAAGTTGTTTCGGTCCTTAGTTTGTAAATTATATCACAATAAAAATGCTTTAGAAGGCAAACTGAAGGATTATTTTAGGAAACTTCATTCACCTTAAATTTCTTTTTCTAAACTGAATCAGCACATATCAGATTTACATTAATGCGTCTAACTTGTATTTATTGGCTTACTAACCAGCCACTTGCACCAAACAACTGGAAAATAAAGTCAACAGGAACAAACGCCAAAATGGCTCTTGAAGTCTCTGAAAACAAACAAACAAACAACCCTAACTAGTCTTATTAATAAGTTCTTTTGATGTTGGTAAAACAGCTTCTTCTAAGGAGACTGTATTATTAACATGTACAGTGATACAGATTCGATTAAACAACATATACATCTATCTAGATAAGTCTTTTTGCAATTCAACAATATATCTGATGCTGTTTCAGTATCAATTCACACACAGATCAACTTCATTCCTTTTAATAGCTGTTACGCACTAACATTTTTCTTCTGACATTTAGTTTGTCTCCATCAAACCTTTTTCCATTGAACCCTGTAAACATCATCGCTGCACACTTGTGATTATTTCTGTAAGATTCCAAAATGCAACACTTAAATATTGACAGGTACTGCTAAATTGCCTTGCATTCAAGTAATGTTAAGTCCTACCAACGGTTAATCAGTGCCCTTTTTCTTTACGTTGCCACCAGCCCTGGGTATTATCTTTTTGTGTGTTCTCACTGGTGCCTCATGGCTGTTTTCCTTTGCTGTTGATCATCTTTTTGTGTATTTATTAGCTATGTGTAAGTGTTCTGTGGGAGAACACTTGTATTCACAGAACACTGGTATTTTGTATCTTAGTGGTATTAACCTATGGTCTTTTACTTGTCTTTGTTGTTAATTGTAAAAGTTTTAAAATTTTGTGTAGTCAAACCTGTTAATCTCTTCCTAAATGACTTCTGCATTCTGTTTGCATAGGATGGACAAATATTGTCATAATACTGTTTACGTCACTAAAAGGTCTTCAGGATAATTCATCATCTCCCATAGGGTATGAACTGAAGAAGACTGCTCCTTGGCCCTCAAAACAGTTCACAGAAATACTAATTTGGTCAGTAACATTTGAAATTATCAATTCAGAAATCCCCAAATCCCCTAGAAGTTTCCAGATAGTAGAGAGGCAGTCTAGACTTTCGAGCTTGGTATTTATTTAGCAGATTATTAAGAGCTTTAGGACAGTGGTTCTCAACTGGGAGCAAATGGCAATGTTTGAAGACACTTCTGGGGTGTATGTGCAGAGGGGTGTGGGGGGGTGGATGCTATTGACAACTAGTGGGTAGACATGAGGGATGCTGCTACATATCCTACAATGAACAAGACAGCCTCCCACAACAAAAATCATCCAGCCCAGGTTGAGAAATCCTGTTTTAGGAATATAAAGCTAAAAAACAGTAAAATGACAATTATAATATGATCAATAATGAGTCAGATCTATACTTGGTGTTGCAGAAGCACAGAGGAGGTGGTGGAGAGGAGGACTAGAATCAGAGAATGTTTCCCAAAGGCAGTGATCTATGATCTCTGCACTGGCCTGGGAAAGAGCAGGGTATGTTCAGGGAACTACAGTAGTCTTCAGCGGTAAGAACATAGCAGGTGGACAGAGCTGAAGGAACAGAAGCACCTTGAACGTTCTGAGGGACTTAAACAGGAGAATATCATAGTCAGGTTTGTGTTTCATTTCGTTTTGTTTCGAAGTCATATCTACCCCTAATATGGGGCGCTAACTTACAACCTGGAGATTAAGAGTCGCATGCTCTTCTGACTGAGCCAGCCAGGTACCCTTTTTTGTTTTTAAAAAGAGAAATCTACCAAAAGTACAGAAGGCGGCTTGGAGAAAAGAGTAAGGAGGCTATTGCAGAAGTCTAGATAAAAAATAAAGGTCTGCCACTAGTCAGTGACAGTGGGGTGAAAAGGAGGGAACAAAGTAGACTATGTTAGCAACAGCATCTGCTAGGTTCAGTGACTGACTGCAAAAGGAAACGAGTTTGGCATCATTAACCAGGCCAGAGAATACTAAAGAAGTAGCTGGTTCAGGTAGAGAAGCGAAGGAGGGCAATTAGGGAGGTCAAGTGCCTGAACACATATGAATAAACAGGCAAGAGACACAACAGGATTTAAAGACCTGGAAGGACAGCAAGGCTAGAGAATACAGATTTGGAGAAGCCGTGCCATGTGACTTAAGCTGAGGGTTTGGATGAGATGACCTACCCTGTAATTCCCTTCTGAAATTTTATGTACAATTTTATGCCTATGTGAACATGTATATTTTTCCTGGTGGGGGGAATTGGCACCCACAGTTTTCAGATTCTCAACAATATCCATAACAGTTATGAACTAAAAATACAGCAAGAAAAGAGAATAAAACACAACCCCTAGGATAAATGGTGGGTGCAAGAGGAATGCTGATCTGGTATTAATTTATTTTTTAATAAGTATTATCTTTTATAGTTAGGACTTTCAGGGGAAAAAAGGAGCATGGTAGGCTAATGTGGTTTCACTGCAGGAAAATTAGTCTCTTACCAAAGACTAATCATGTCTAGAAGTGATCGGTTAGTTCTATGAAAACCAACTGTACACCATGTAACTTACCTCGTTTTTCTTTTTCTCGTTGATCTGTGTTAGGGTTCTCTTGTTCGACTGTAGTTTGTCTGCATTGAAATTAATATACAAACCACCCAACTGCTTGATACTCATACCAGGGTCTAGGCTGCTGCTTGTCAACTTCAGACTGAAAGACAATGATCACTTAAAGATCAAGTAATCATATCAAAATGGAAACAACTGAGACTGTATTTTTAAAATCACTTTTTTCTTCCCTCCCCTTTTACTGCCAATGACCCCCCCGCAAAAAGGAAATCTTATTTTTACAATGGAGTTTCTGAAAAACTGAAACATGTTTTTAAATCTAATAAAATCATTTAGAAGAAAATTCCAGGATGAATAATGAATGAAAAAAGTTTTTTGGGAGCCCATCTAAATCTATTCCTCAGATTAACTTAAAGAGGATTAAGACTATATAATATGCCAGTAGACTTCATAAAGGGATTTTATAAAGAAAAGAATTGTAAAGAGGAGATATATCTGGCAATTCAGCTCAACTTCATATACAGATAGTGAGTTAACAAATGTACATACATACCTCTATCTCTAAAACCCAATGAGAAAGACAGGTTCTGAACTTCCAGGTTATCCAAACTTAGAAGGTTTTTCTGGGTAAATAAGGGCATTTGGTAGTGCCTCTAAATCAGTGAGTTTTAAACAGTGGTGAACATCTGTATTTCTCACCAGAGATTTTCAAAAATACAGAAGTCATAGCCCATATCTACCAAATCAGTTGGGTCTGGGCTCCTGCTGTATTTATGTAATAAGAATTTCTACTTTTATATTACTGAAAGGTCCTTTTTATAAGCAAATACATTTGGACTTCCAGATACTTTCTTCCCTAATTATTCATATAAACTGAGCAGTTGAAAGCTTTGATCAACCTCTACTGGAAAGTGAAATCGTTCTACTGCAGTGGTTTGGCAGTGATTCTCAACCCTAAAGGTATATTAGAATTATCCCGGGGAGAAGTGTGGTTTTTAAAAAATAAGTATGCTTGAGGCTAGCCTCAGAGATTTATTTCATTGGTTTAGAGTGAAAACTGGACATCTGTTAACGTATAGACTCTGGCCAAGGATGTATTTCCAGTGGATACAGGGCCACCGGAGCCCTGTGCCTAAGAAAAACAAATTTAAAACAGAAAAAAAGAAACTAAAGAAATAGCCCCTAAAGTTAGCACTTTTCAATGGGTGATAGGATTATAGGTGATTATTTTTCAACTTCTCTACAGTTAGCTTGCAGAAAAGATAAAAGTTCCTTTCCTTCCCTTTTATGTTGCTCTTAACAATCATGCAGAAAAATCTTAGATGATTTCGAATAGATCACTGGTGGGAGAAATATGACTAACAGTCACCCACAGACTAGGGAAATGCTGGATAAAAGAGCTCTTCTAGGGGCGCCTGGGTGGCTCAGTTGTTAAGCGTCTGCCTTCGGCTCAGGTCATGATCTCAGGGTCCTGGGATCGAGCCCCGCATCGGGCTCCCTGCTCGGCAGGAAGCCTGCTTCTCCCTCTCCCACTCCCCCTGCTTGTGTTCCCTCTCTCGCTGTGTCTCTGTCAAATAAATAAATCTTTTTTTTTTAAAGAGCTCTTCCATAAAGAACCTGAGGCAGTAGCTTTCTCAATTCCCATGTTTTCTGCTATTTCATATTTTTATGGTAAATCAGCCGCTTGAAATATGTATCAAAAACTTACTTTTAAAAATAAAGGTAAAACTTACAGTTTAGACTTTGTGTTATTTAGTAAGTCATCTTCATCACTAAACTCACTATCTTTGTTTCTGTCATGGTCTGATGGTTCTTCACTTTCTTCATCCTCTTCCGCCTCTTCTTCCTCCTCAATGGCAACTTCACTTGCCTTGTCTCCCTCATCCAAGTAAAAATGTTTATCAGTACTCAATCCAGGAGTTGTGTCAATTACAAACAATGCATTGTCACATGACATATTTTCTGATTCTCCATTTAATGATTCCTTTTGACCATTATTTTCAACAAAACACACAGTGTCCTCTTCATTCTCACTATTTTCAGACTGCTGGCTTTCATCACTGCTGAGAACTAATAAAACAGAATCACCTTTGTCCAGGGATGTGTGGAGCTCAGACTTGAATAGTTTGGTTTCACACTCAAAATCTACATCCCTTCCTTCATTCCTATCTTCACTGATACCTGTAACTGGGCACTCTTCTTCATCACTACCACTATCACCAAATTCTGTCAAGTCACTTGTTTTTATGGTGCTCTTTCTCTCTTCATTCCATCTGTCCACTTCCACCACCGCAAATGATTGAGCTAACGATTTCATTATAGCCTCACAGTTCAGATTTGAGGGCTCTGATGTGGTCTTATTATTTTGGGGGGTTGAATGCCTCTGAGAAACTAACTGCTGAATGCCAGTGTCCTGAGGTTCAGAAAGGCTCTCCAACTGAGAATTTTTCTTATTTATTTCTTCTTCCTCATCTACTATTCCCTTGGTTTCTTGATCTAAATTCTTATTATTCTGCTTTGTTATTTCTTTGAGAGATGCAACACTGGCCTTTTTCTCCTCTCTTATATTAAAACGTTGGCATTTTTGCACTGTTTGTTTTTTTTCTGAATTTCTGTGGAAGGAATCATCATCGAAGTCATTATGAATTTCATTATAGAAATTTGGCTTATTTATCTGAGGAAGAGATCTTACCAGTAAACAGGTTGTTTGTCTGGTATCTGAATCCTCTGAATTCACAGGCACATTTATGATTTGCTTTTCATTTTCTGGTACAATGTCAGTATCTTTCTCCTCAGTTTGTGCGTGTAATTTCTTCTGCATACTTCTCGTTCTCATAGTTGCAACTCCAGAAAATGAAGAAATGTCTGAGTATGATGACTCAGCATCAGAAATAGCTTCTGCACGTAATTCTTGGCTTGGATCTCTTACAGATTTAGCCTTACTTCTTCTGGTCCTTGTAGTTATTACTGTGGGCGGCACAATTCTAGAAATACCTGAGACATGTGATTCAGTTTCAGAGTCATCGTCATTGTCTTCTTCAATATGAGACTGATTTATTGGAGTTATTTTCAGCCTTTTCCGAACACTGGACACTGGAGTGCATGCAACTAAGATCTGCCGTCTCCTAGTTACTCTTAAAATGGGATCCTGGAGCTCAGACACAAAAGAACAATTTGACTCTGCTTCAGAGGTCTCTCCATCAGTAGATGGTTTGTTCATTTCAGATAATGAGATTGCAGTTCCGCTCTTCCTCTTTCTGGTTTTAGGAGTTCTAGAGACTGGACTTTGTTTCCTAGTGGTCTGTGATTCAGCAGTAGTTGGGTCAACAGGTAGACATTCCTTCCTGACTCTTGGATGTGCCTGAATTCTTTTAGCAGAATTCTGTAAGCCAGAATAAATACACTGTAATTTAGGTAGGACTGGAACTAGGGCACTCCTCTCAGGAGAACATTTTAAGAGGGTACTAAAAAACTCAGTAAACAAGATTAATACAAAACCACTACCACCACCCACAAAACAAAACACCTAAATACTAAATACTGGATCTAACACTGCATTTGCAAGGCCCTGCCTCACAACCACCAGTACCCATGATTTTTAACAATAAAAAACAAAAAACATATACTGGATCTGACTCTGCATTTGCAGGACCCTGCTTCACTCGCCTCACCCAAGACCTAGATCTAATTTTAGGGAGGAAAACAATTAATTGAAAAGTTTCTGCAGATAAGTATCAAATGCCAAATATGCTTGGTGGACCTACATTCTGACACAAAGGGGAAGAGAGAAGAAAAGAAATATTAACTCTGAGCACAGATGTGTTTAGGAATACACACACAGGGCGCCTGGGTGGCTCAGTTGGTTAAGCAACTGCCTTCGGCTCAGGTCATGATCCCGGGGTCCTGCGATCGAGTCCCACATCGGGCTCCCGGCTCGGCGGGGAGCCTGCTTCTCCCTCTGACCCTCTCCCGTCTCATGCTGTTTCTCCCTCGCTCGCTCTCTAATAAATAAATAAAATCTTAAAAAAAAAAAAAGGAATACACACACAAATGGAATCAGTCGCTACCCTTACCTTTACATACATAAATCAATTAACGCTCTATTCCCTTCGTCGCGGAATCAGAGCCAACGGACGACTAGAGCCACTGAGAGCCACCAGGAGGCGTCACTGCAGCCTTCCCCACTCCAGAATAAAGTGCTGTGGGGCCACTACCGGCTCCCCACGTGACAACGGTAACCTCCTCTTCAACCCTAATTATAGTTAGACTCACACTTGGTAGCCGAAATTAAGCCTCCTTCGTACGGTTTTAACAGGTTAAAAGGCCTCAGCTGTGCATCTGCCATTACGAAGGTGAACTACCCAAAGCAAGTTACCTGACTCTCTGTTCCATGCTAAGGACTGTCTTAAACGACCGTAGCGAGGGCTGAAGAGGAAGCTACGGGCTTAGCACTGGGTCTGACACAGCAGCGCGCGACAAGCTCGGGCCCTTTCCGCTGCTCCTCCTCACGCTGCTCGCCGGACCTTCGCGCCGCCCTATCACCCTAAGTGCTGCTCTGTGAAGCAGCGGCAGAAATGAGAGCGCTCTGCCATCTCCTACCTTCTGCTGGGAGTTTTCAGCCAACGTGGCTTGGATCGTGGCCTGAGGCCTCCCGGACCTGGTCACCACCATCCTCCCAGCTCGCGGCCACCTCGGCCTGCCTCTGTTCCGGCGCCCCGGAAATACGTCAAAGAAGCGTCTCGCTCGCATTTTCCGCGAGGATTCCGGAACTAACGAGAATCTCGTACTAGCCTCCGGCCCACGGACCTGGGTCAGGCGCGTCTGACCTAGGGTTTCCCAAGGCGACGGTTTCCAGCGTTCACTCCAGTGCGGTGAAAGTCAGATCCACCGACCTCTGGCCGGGAGAGACCTTCGTTGGGGCGGCGACACCGCAGTGACGGAGGGCCCTCGTCCCAGTTTCACACAAACGAATTGGAAAATCGCATCTTCTTTCCAACTTCAACCATCCTCTCATATGTTTGGTCTTTTAAATGTAGTCATGGGGTGTGACCCAATGAGGCGTTTGCATTATTTATAATTTTTGTTTTTGTAACGACGTACTCTTGTCTTATTCGTGAAATTAAAAATTTAATTTTTTATTAATAAATAAAAGTCAAAAGACTCGGTTAGGGTAAAAATGTATTTTTTAAATGTTCCAGAAACTCAGAGACTGTCTAAAGGTAAGATGGTGACTAGGAATCGGAAATAAGCGGAAAAGAAGAAATGTTAAATTTTATTTTTTTAATTTTTAAAGATCTTATTTATTTGACAGAGAGGGAACAGAAGTAGGGGGAGTGGAAGAGGGAGAAGCAGGCTTCCCGCTGAGCGGGGAGCCCAATGCGGGGCTCCATCCCAGGACCCTGGGATCATGACCTGAGCTGAAGGCAGACGCTTAACGACTGAGCCACGCAGGTGCCCTTATTTATTTTTTAAAGATTTTATTTATTTATTTGAGAGAGCACAAGTAGGGGGAGCAGGAGAGGGAGAAGCAGGCTCCCCGCTGAGAAGGGAGCCTGATGCAGGGCTCAAATCCCAGGACCCTGGGATCGTGACCTGAGCCGAAGGCAGACGCTTAACCATCTGAACCACCCAGGCATCCCAGAAATGTTAAATTAAAAAAGGAGAGCAATAAAAAAAAAAAAAAAATTTTTTTCTTGCAGTGAAGAGAATGACCAGAATCAAGAGAAGGTGTTTGGTGTTCTTTTAGGATGAAGTATGGAGAGTTAGAATATATCTGAGGGGAATGGAAAGGGATACTGTTGGCGAGAAAGGATGAGTTCTTCACCAAATCTATATAATAGAAAACCAATTTTTTTCTTATTGTCAAAAAACACAGATTTTTTATTGGGCACATGACCACCCAGCTAAATAGGTCCTTTCATAGTTTCCCTTGCAGCCAAATGTGGCTGACTAAATTCTGGCCAATTGGCATAAGTTGTGTAGTTCTTTAGGGACATAGGAAAAGAGGAGGTCCTCCCTGACTTCTTTAACTTCCTTTTTCACCCTGGAAAGCTGTATTCTCAGGTTTCAAGCAGCAAGTTTGTGCAATGAAGATAAGGGCCACACTTTAGGGATGGCAGAGCAGTGAGAAAGAAAACATGAGTCCCTGACAGCTGATGGAGCTGCCATATCTGTCCTCAACAGCCCACTTCTAGATCTGTCTCACCTGAAACACCTTTTTTCCCCAAGTTTTTATTTAAATTCCAGTTAACATACAGTATAATAATTAGTTTCAGGTGTAGAATTTAGTGATTCATCACTTTTTAAAGTCACTTATTTGGAGATTTTCTGTTATTGCAGCTGAGCCAAATCCAACTGAAGAATGGAATAAGAAAACAGAGATGGAGTTAGCACGGAAGAATGCTCCTTTCTTTGAGGCAGGAGGGAAGAGTTAATATTTGAAGTAGAAAGAATGTGAATGCAAGGAAATTAAAGTGGAGGGAAGAAGAGGGGCTTTTGGATGGATAACTTCAATCTTCTCTGTAAACTGAAGATTCATCTGCTTAGAGGGATGGAAAAAGGTTTAGATTGACCCTTGTGGGGAATGTGGTAAGGAACAAAAAGAAGGAATTTTATTATTTTTAAAAATTTTATTTATATATTTGAGGGAGAGTGAGAGCAAAAGCGAGAGAGAGAGCACAAGCAGGGGGGAGAGGGAGAGGGAAAGCAGGCTCCCCGTTGAGCAGGGAGCCTAATGCCAGGACTCAATCCCAGGACCCCAAGATCATGATCTGAGCCGAAGACAGACACTTAATGATTGAGCCACCCAGGCACCCCAAAGAAGGAATTTTAGTATGGCCATGTAGCAATGAGACTATGTAAGAGGAAGAACATAAGACAGGTTAGATTTCAAGAGAAGGTAGAATGGTGTAGAGGAAGGAAAGTGAACCTATTGGAGGTTACATGCACTAACTCATGAACTCTACAACAACTTTAACATGAGCAAATGCATGAAAATGAAATTAAGATCACAGGAGTGGGTATAGAAAATTAGGGAATATTAAAAAATCAATGTGTAATATTCACTTGCAATCATGGCCATTTTAAAGTAAAACAAAAACTCCCAAACATTACAATCTAACAAGATGAAGAAACAAAATTAAATGTCAGTACATACTCGTAATCTGAGAAGACTGAGCTGGTCTACTATCAACATGGCTGATAATAGCTAAAACTGCACCATGTTCTGTTTTTGTTTTAAGTGGGCTTCCCAGGTCTGCCCTGTTCTCATTTCTACCTTTTTGCCTACCCTCTTTACCCAATGTGGATTTAGGGCAAATACACAATTTTAGGTAGATACAGTAGTTATCACTCAGGCCCAAAGGGAAACTCTCCCTTGATAGTCAATATTTTACTAATTAAATCCTTAAACTGAAACGTTGAATCTCTCCCTGGAATTTCAGGCATTAACCAAAAGATGGGAGTTTTAGTTCCTGAGCCTTCTAAAAATAACTACTACTTGTAGTTATTCCACATTATTACATGTAAAATTAAAGTTGGCTTTAAGATGGTCCCCAACGATCCCATCTCCCAGTTTTAAACCCTTGAGTGGGGGCTGGACCTGGTGATAATGAAAAGAATGTCAAAAGTGATAGATCTCTTTCATAATTAGGTTACCAAAAAAGCCAGGCCACCTTCTTGCACCGTCTCACCTGTTCATTCTGTGGGAAGCTAGTTGCATGTGATGAGCTGTCCTATGGAGAGGGCCATGTGGCAAGGAAATGAGGGAGGCCTCTTGGCCTATAGCCAACAAGGAACTCAGTCCAGCCAACAACCATATGAGCAAGCTTGGAAGTAGACCCACCTCAATCGAGCATATAGGTGAGACTGTAATCCCAGCTGACACTTTGACTGCAACCTTTTGAGACACCTTAAGGTACCCAGAAACAGCAATAAATGTCATTATCAAATAATTTTGTCTGCTCTAAAATTTCATGTAAGTAGCTTCTTTCACTCAGCATGTGTCTGAGATTCACCTGTTACTGTATATAATTTTTATTGCTTAGTATCCATTGTATGATTATAATACAGTTCATTTATCCATTCAACTGATAATAGCATTTGGGTGGTTTCCAGTTTTCAGCTAATATAAGTGCTATAAACGTTTATATATGTTCTTTTTGGACATCTGTATTTCTCTGTATACCTAGGAGAATAATTGCTGGGCCATATGGTAAGTGAACATTGAATTTTGTAAGAAATGCCAAGATATTTTCCATAGTAGTCATACCATTTTATGTTCCCACCAGCAATCTGAGAGTTCTGCTTGCTCCATATCCTTGCCAACACTTGGTACTGTCAGCCTTTTAAAATTGTAGTTATTTTGTATTCTAGTGATGTTTCCTTATGGTTTTAAATTGCATTTCCCTGATAATGATGTTAAGCATCTTTTAATGTTTCATTGGCTATTCATATGTTAATCATTCTGTGGGGTGTCTCTCCACTTTCTTGACAGTGTCCTTTGAAGTGCAATTTAAAAATAATTTGATTATGCCTTATTTTTCATCAGAAGTATGTATTGGAAATATTTCCCCTCAGTCTATGGTTTGTATTTTCACTTTCTTAAGTGACTTTTAAGGAACAGAAGATTTAAATTTTGATTAAATCCAGTTATCAGTGTTTTCTTTTATGGTTTTTTTGTTATCAAAAAGCTTTGCAGTCAGTTTTAATTTTCCTGCTTTGTTCTAATTCCATACACATCAAAATAAGTCGAAACTTTCAACTAAAAAAAAAGACTAGAGAAAGACACTACTTCTAGGGAAGGAAATCCAGAGTTTCATCAGGAAGAGTATATATACTGGAAATCAATAGAATATTATCTTCAAATTGCTCAGGGAAAGTATTTGGAAACTTAAAATTCTATAATGTCAAATGATCACTTAAGATTGAGAACAAAATGAAGACATTTGCAGACAAACAGGACCTACAAAGTTTACTGTGCCCAAAGACAAAGACCTTCAGTGAAAGAATCACTAATGACATACTTAAGAAAAAAGCGAACTTAAATGGAGTAGGATGCAGGAATCAACAGTGAGGAAAGAAACAAGGAAAACAAAGCTGAGTCAAAGTAAGTAATGCATATTGTAAAACATGAACCTTTCAAAATAATGGACCAACAGACACATAAATATCTTGTATGACATTTTATACATTTATTCATTGCTGAGAGATACATATTAAAGTTTTGTTTGGCTTTTCTGGTAGTGAAACTATAACAGCCACATTCTATTTGGGGGATTTGGGCAAGTTTTAGCCTTTTTTCTTTTTTTAATAAAATTCTGTTAAACTTACTCTTTTTTTTTTTAATTTTATTTATATTGACAGAGAGAGAGACACAGCAAGGGAGGGAACACAAGCAGGGGGAGTGGGAGAGGGAGAAGCAGGCTTACCGCGGAGCAGGGAGCCCGATGTGGGGCTTGATCTCAGGACACTGGGATCATGACCTGAGCCAAAGGCAGATGCCTAACGACTGAGCCACCCAGGCGCCCCTCCAACCTTACTTACTCTTGTCTCAACAGAAGCCATTCCTTTCTATCTGTAAGGGCAAGCTCTTTAAGAACGTGTTTTCACTGAATTCCTAAAGTTTACATATAAATTGTTCATCATTCAATAAAGGCTATTTACAAACAAGGCCAACAAAGGCCTCTGCCAGAATCCCCACCCACTGTCTCATCCTACTCTAAGGCTAATTTCTTCAGGGAAGTCTCCTAGCAGTAGATAGTCCCTAGCCCCACTTCCTTCTATCTGCCCCCAACCCCTTTTCCCCACTTTGATCATTAACACATGGACTCTACTGCTCTTGCTCATGTACAGATCTCTCTCCCCCACCCCCGCCAACTTATACTATATGCTCCTTGAAGACAGAGGTTGTTTATTTCTGTGTCTGTCTGCCAATACCTTACACAGTGGCTGGCATATAGTAGGCATTTGATAAATCTTTGAATGAACACATGAATAGCTTTATGGATTGGATATTTAAAAATTATTCAGAATTTATCTTCAAATCATACTCAGTTTGAGTTCAAAAAGTTCAAAATCAATATTCTAGGATGCTTTCAACTACCCAAACAACTCAATTAAACAATATACAACACACTTTATTTTAATTAAGTAATTCATAATACTCATAGGTGAAATTAAAGACTATTATAAATATTAATGCTTTATATTTTGCCTGTATTTTGTAATACACCACTATGGACACATCTAATGAAAACATTTTCCTGTCCTAAGTGTATTTCTAATTCTGAAAACTATAAAAAATATTAATGAAAGTTATGTTACATAGTTTTCAAAAATAAAACTGACATATCCCATCAACAACTTTATGAGGAAATGACAGGTACAAGTTCTGGTACATTAGGAAGTTAACTTTAAAAAATATGTTCAGAATCATAAGTTGGTATATTTGATTATGAAAACAAATGGTTTAAATTCTCATTAAAACAACTTTAAATTTCTCTAAATGTACAACTGGCAGAGAGATGAACTGTCAATCATTTCATTCCCCAATACAGAAAATGCTGGGTGGAAAAGCTGGAAAGAAAATCTGTTCAAAAATGAGACGTAATTAAATGAATCTTAGACCTTTTATCACTGAAAACTGAGATCCTATTTCAGTTACTACTTGGCTCTGGTAGGGAAAAGTCTGACCATTCATTCAAAATAGAGTAGCTTTATTTTCCATTCCACACATAGCTGTTTAAGTGATTTTCTTTGAGAACAGAAAAATTATTAGCTATTTGTGATTCAATCTAGCACTGGCTATCCCTAAATGGATACTCTACTAGCGTACTGGCACAATGTGGTCTGCATAATTTACATCATGTGAACATATTTTATAAGACACCTTGGTCCTTCTGGTGACTACAGTTTCTTGGATGAGAATATAAGATAGACTCATCACAGAACAAATTCTAAGTTACAGTACATTGTGTTAATGTAAGGCTCCAGTGTATTCTGTAAATGTAATAAACTGTAGCTTTTCATGTTTACTGAAAAAAAAAAAACCCCAATTATACAAATTCTTTCTACCTTGAGTCATTGGATACACCTCTCCCCAGAAAACATATCTGTTATATATGCTATTGATAACTTAGCTTTCAGCTTTAAGCAATTATTTGGTAGTATTACTGTTATTTTATGGCTTTTTAAACATTAAGTCCTTAAATATTTGAAAAGCATTCACTATATTCTGATAGTTTACAAAAAAAAAAATGTGAACACCAGTTTGGAAAATGTCAAGTCTTAAAATATCATTTTTTTTAAATGGTTATTCAGTAACAGAAATTAAAGGTACAGAAGTTAAACAAATAAACTCTTTTTAAAATTCCATACATACACAATCCCCTTCACAAAATGAATCTATAATCTTGCTTCTTTGTCAAGAGAGGGGGAGAAAGTACACAAAAAAAATTCCTCTGAAGTTTGTATCAATTAGTAACATAAGGTTTTTTTTTCCATTTTCAAAATAACCCTTCAAACAATCCATTTTTATAAGTCTAGGGCTTTAAAAAGCAACAAATTGATATAAAGTTCCCTCTTAAAATATCTTGACCAATTCACTGTTTAGGCTTAAATTAAAATGAACATTTGTTTAAAGACATTGTATGAAAAAATGCTACAGATTTCCAAATAAAAAAGTTAACTATATACATTCCATAACATTATATACAATTAATGTAAAGGCTATATAAGGCCTTAGGAAGCTCTAAGTCTAAATGAATTTTAACAAGTAAATCAGCTGATTTCATGTTACAATTCTATGATCAAATTATCCAACCAGTAAACTACAAAACATTATTTAGGATAGGAAGAGTCTGCTGTATTTCCTTTTTTTTTTTTTTTTTTTTAAAGATCTATTTATTTGAGACAGAGCGCGCGTGCACAGGGTTGGGGCAGAGGGAGGGGGAGAATCCCAAGCAGACTCTGGCGCTGAGAGTCAGAGCCCTATGTGGGGCTTGATCGCATGACCCTGAGATCATGACCTGAGCCAAACCAAGAGTCAGACACTTAACCACCTGCACCACCCAGGCGCCCCTAGTGTATTTACTTTGAATATAGAACCACTTTTCTCTAAGTTGAAAAAACTTGGGCAAAATTAGTTTTATATATTAGTTTATTTTTTTCAAAGATTTTATTTATTCGAGAGCACGAGAGAGTGAGAGAGAGCATGAGCAGGGGGAGGCACAGAGGGAGAAGCAGACTGCCTGCTGAGTAGGGAGCCCAATGTAGGGCTCAATCCCAGGACCCCGGGATCATGACCTGAGCTGAAAGCAGACACTTAACCGACTGAGCCACCCAGGTCCCCTATATTAGTTTTTTTTAATAAACCATGTATTAAGACACATGGTTTAAAGGTACTGAGTGACATACAAGAGATTTTTGAAGTTTGAAGAACTTTTCAAACTATTTGGGTTACAGATACAAATTTATAGACCTAAGGAGACCTGTAATCTATATCAAAGGACACAGCTTATTTGTTTGCTATTTTCTGGTTCTTAAACTAATGGGAATTATAATAATCTATGACCTCTTCTAGCTCTAAATTTTTGATTATACCATTTTGTTTTTAAATAGTTAAGACCGTACCTCAAAAAAAAGTTGTCTAAATAGACAATGTTGGCCTTGAATTGAAGATTTTTTTCACTCCTTTTCTGGCTGTTAGTCCCTTCAAGTCAGTTATTAGTGGGGAACAAATATTACACATTTTACTCAACCGATTCTGACTCCCTGTGTCCCCTTTCTCCCCAGAGCCCACAGTGCCCAGCACATGGTAAACACTCAATACTTATTGAATATTCTTGAATGAATAGCAAAATATTAAGGATGGATCAAGTATTAAAAAGAATCTGGAGATGATAATAGTTGCTTTTATAAAACCCCCAAATAATAATTTCAAAGCTTCTATTCTCCTTTTTCAGATTTACTTTGGTTTGTCTTGGAAATAATAGCAAGGAAAATATGGCACAAGAATACAAGATTAAATCATTATAGGTAAACTACAAGCAAGGACAATTAAGTTTAAGTTTTCATTCATGTATTGAAGATATGAATTTTACTTACACTATTAGTAGATCCCAGCTACTCTAGTTACTCTGGGATATAATCATCTTATCAATTACAGAAAAAATATCTTCCAGTATTTCAGTTTTAACAATTGTAATTAAATTGCTTATACTATAGAATAAGAAGCCATTAATTAATTTTTGGAAATAAAAAATATGTATATACATTACCCTGATACCTAGGCCCAAAATATATCTAACAACAATTTTTCTTGATTTCTATTAGTCATAAAAATAAAGGAAAAATATATTGTAAGTATTTTCTTCATAGACAATTTCAATTAGAAAACAAGTTTAATGAAAACAATACAGTGGAGTTCATGTGAGTGAAGTGATATGGAGGCAAGAGAAGTATTCAAATCTTGACGGATAACATATCGTCAAATATAACTGAAGAATATCTGCCTCCATGACACCATTTACAGGCAGTAACTAATTTTTATACATCTCAATTTTATCTTATATTCAAGGAAAATACAAGTCAGTAGGTTATGATCCTAAGTCGTAGTTAAGAACCCCTTCTTTTAGCTTGTAAAATGTAGCCTTTTGATTTGATAATTCCTCTACTTTTAACAATGACCGAATACCGCAGTAGCCACAGGGGCACCCACTCATGTGCTTGAATGTCAGGGATGCTTTCCTGAAGAGCTTCTTGGAAACTGGCTTCAGAAAGCAGTTCTTAAAACAAACAAACAAATAAAAACCCAAAGTGTTAAGTTTGAAAATAACAGCACTTTACTATGTAGGTAAGCATTTAAATACAACAAAAGAAACAATTCAAAATTGAATATAAAATATGCTTTTCCTTCATGTGTGCTATGAATCTGAACCAGAAGATCAAAAAGACCCAGGTAGTTCTTTAGAAAGTCCCTACACCTCTACCCCAGCCTATTTAATTCATAACCTCTGGTGAGTGGAGCCTGCATTTTTTTTTTTTTGAAGACTTCCAGGCAATTCTAACGTAGAGCCAGTGAAAATACAGGAAAGTACATACACAGAAGAAAAAGGAAAGGTATCCATAATCCTATCAACCAGAGAGAGATTACTTCCATTGCCATGTATATCCTTCCAACTTTTTTTCTGTACCTTTCTATATCTCAAAAACTGAAAATCATGCTGTAGTTACAACCTAATTTACTTATCTTTTCAACTTTTATTATGAATCTTCCCATGTAATTAAATATTCTGTGGAAGCATCATTTTTAATAATTATCCAGATACTACATTATATAGATATCATAATTTATACATTTCCTCATTGTTGACCAAAAAATTTAGTTTTTTCCTAGTATTTTGCTAATAAAAATAATGTCATGCTGAACATCTTTAAAATGCATGCCTGGCTATAGAATGACAAAGTCAAAGTACAAGTACATTTTGAAGGCTTGATAGACAGTATATTGCCAGTTGCTTTCCAGAAAGGCTATATTTTACACTTCTACTAGCAGCTGATAATGTTAGAGTGCCAATCTTACCATATCCTCACGAGCACCAGCAATCATTTAAAAACTCTGGCAACGGTTATCTTTTTATTTGCATCTCTTTGATGAAATAATTATTTTCTAATTCCACATTGATATCCAAGCCCTTGACTCCTGCTCAGATGTACTACCCGCCCCCCCCCCCCCCCACTGCCTCTTCTCCAGCCACACTGGCCTCAAACCTGTATCCTGAAATCCTCAAGCACACTCACACTTTGCGGCCTTTGAATCAGCTGCTCTCTCTTCCTTGAACACTCTTCTTCCAGATTCTCGCAGGGCTCTCACCCTTCCTGCAGGTCTCTGATTAATGTCCCCTTAGCAGAGAGGCCTCCCTGACTTACCCTATATAAAACAACCCCTAACCTGGGCACTCTTTTCTTCCTCAGCCAATTTTTCTCCATAGCACATACCATTATTTCTCACATTTAACATTTACCTTATTGTCCATCTCCTCCCACCAGAATATAAATTCCATGAGGGTTGGAATTTATCTGACTTGGTCTTTATATTCCTAGTACTTTGAATAATGAATGACACATTGTAGGTATGCAAATGTCTGTTGAATCAATCAAGCAATATGGAAAGATTCTACCAGGGTCAGAACCAACCACACAGATAGAGACTAAGTGACCATCTATACAGTATGATTTGGGAGCACTAAAGGACCCAACTGACCCAAAAGAACTGCTGTGATATTTGAATAACATCAATAGTAAACTCTCAGTAAATGTTAGCTATTATCACGTGCCAGGTACTTTTCTGAGTACTTTACATGTGTTAGCTCCTTTAATCTACATGTTAACCCTACAAGATAGATAATATTCTCCCCTTTTCCAGGGGGCAACTGAGGCAGAGAGTTTAGATAACTTGCCCAAGGTCATGCAGCCAGTAAATGGCAACTTTGATAAATGGAAGGCAAATATCTCTTTGGGAAAGTAACATGAACATGGATTTGTATATCAGTCTATCTGACAGAGAACAGGACCTGGAGGGAATGAGGCATAAGGCAGATCAGATTTAATGGGAATGAGGGGAGGGTAAAACAAATAAAAAGGGAAAGGTTCTGAGTCAGGATCACTACTTCACAATTTCACCCTGACTGTAGTTAAACTGTTACCACAACTTCTAGGACAAAGAGTAATGGAAAATAAGCACTTTCTGAAGAATAGGGTAATTTTAGAACAGGGGAAGGGTTTTAGAGGGGACTTATAAACAAAACTCTATTTTAGATGACAAGTAGAGTTAAATGTTTTATAACTTGATTGCTTAAAAAATAAAATGTGACACATAATCAGAGAGCTATGCTATTTATCAACTTAATTACATACTTTTAAAAATTAACTATGTGAACTCTTTAGAATGAGTAAACACAATAAATCTTTTAAGGAAAGAATTGCTTCATTACAGATCAAAGTGTCTGAAGATTCATTAATGGTATGTGCAGGATCAGCCTATAAATTCTAATCAAAGGGTGTAGGATTAAAATTAGAAAGACATCCAAATGTAAGTTATGTCAGTAAAGCAAAAACATACCAAAAAAGGATTAAATTTCTCTTCTCATATGTATATACAATTTATTTTTCAATAAGAACAATGCATTAGCACATACCCACATGCCTTCCATCTACCATGGAAATAAAATACCAGACACCTTAGTCTTTTCCTATTTCCTTTGAAAAAGGAAAGAGTTTTTTTTTTTCAAGTGGAGCTAGAACGGGAGGCAGGCTCATCCATCAGCTGTTGATAATAATTATTGTTGGAAGAGCCCCCCCCCAAAGTAAACAGATAAATGACAGAATATCTGCCAACATACAGAAAGTTGGAATTTAAATGGTTTATGTTTCAGAATAAATCGGCATAGAAATTCTTTGTTAGAGTTTCACTAAGACGACTTTTTTTTAGTGAATTTAATTACTTATGAAAGTGATTACTGAAGGGAGAGGCAAAAGTCATTTTCTCCTATTCTGGTATCACTTAAATAGAAACTGGTAAGAAAGTAAGGTTTCAGACTGAAATACTACAATGCTAACATCTCAAATTAAAAAGATAGTACAGAATAGGGGAAAAGGCTCCCAATTCAGCCAGGACCAAGTCCAAGTTTAAACTTTGCCCCCTGCCAGATGAGTGACCTTGGCTGCTTTCTTAAATTCTGAGGCTCTATTTCCTCAACAATAAAATGCCTAGTTGCAGTTGTTGTGAGGATTACAGATCATCCCTCTAAGGCATTTAGCATGATGCCTAACATTTGAGGAGCAATAACTATCAAAACTCCTCTTTCTACAAAACAGTGAAAAAATGAGAATGGGGCAGACTGCTAAATAAGTAAGTATAAAGTGTAAAACATTCTCTTCCTAGCTTTTCTACTTATCCTATAAAATGTTGATAAAACATTATACTATAGAAGGCAGACAAGCCATTCTCATTAATCAAATAATGTTTCTGATTGACACCAAACATATAGGTCTTGATAGAAATGATTAATAAAATACCTAATCAATTACCTATCCTAAGATGCTTAAATTTCAAATTAAATTTTATCTGCCTCTTTCCAGATATTTACCCTCTTTTAACTAAGTGGCTGTTTGGTACAATTTTTGCTGTACTACACAAGATTTTATGAGATACTATTTAGAATATCTTAAAAGATCTTTTATGTGTAGCTTAATATTTATAAACTTCAACAGACTAGATGTTCAGGATATGATCCCTTCCAATTTTTTGCTCATTGACAGACAAAATAAAGCTTTCTGAAACTAAATGCATATATGTTTTGGACTATTAAGAAAAGTTCTAGGTAGCATTTATCATTGTACAAAATTAAAAATTAAATTTTAACAAGTAGCTTCTTGTAAGACAAAAGCTCATGATCAATCAACAAATGAAAATCTCAGTCTTACCTTTTGGATCATTATGAGTCAATAGCTGTATGTCAAATTGTTTAGCAAATGCAGTCAAGTCGGGTGGCATCACACAGCAGGAGGCAAGATTAACTTGGTTACTATTTGGTTTTACCTAGAAGTGAAAAAAATCATGACATTGCACTAAATTAAGTACTACAAAAAGTGGAAAGCAATAAAAGAACACAATTTTAGAAAATACGAAAGACTGCATTTTATAGTGCTTAAAATTTATAAAACATTTTTATATGAATATATTTATTAATGTATGCTTTTTTAACTCATGTTAGTGATAACAGTGAAAGGAAAGCTCTAGGATGGGGGCAAAAGCCAATATACTGCTATACCCTTAGAAACTCTCCTGCAATCTAATACACTTGCCTCAGAAACAAACATGGTTCTAAGTGTGATGATTCCAGCTCAAGAGGGAATAGGTCTTAAAGGTAAAGGAGCAAATAGAAACAGTAAGAACATTTAGTGTTAAAGTATAAAATATGGTTATAAATCAGACACATTTTGAAAAAGAATTAGATAATTTCTAATAGTTGCTCTGGTTAATTTACAGATACATTCCAGATCACCCAAGTCTCTCCAGCAGAATCTTAGCCACATTCTGGCTACCACCAAGTCAAAGGGAGGAGGAACAATACTTTCTCTAAGGTCTTACTGCCCATAAGAAACTGAAACCTCTGCAAAGGAGAAGGATGGGGATGAAGTAAAAGGAATAAAGAAAAATACAGAGGGTAAAGGTAAAAAATACTGGTAAGCAACTTCCCTAATAATATTGTACATTATTAGAGGCCAGCGAGTGGTGATTAATTTATGACACCTATTCCTTATCAAATTCTATGAACCGAAAGTATTTTATATCTTTAAATAAGAGCAAAATATTTGTTACAGATGATATTCCCTTACCTAAGAAATCAGAACCAAGACCTAAGCATATCTAAAGCAAAATGTTAATATTTTTATCACAAAAGTAAAACCGAAGGAAATGGCCTGAATTCATGTTGGCTATAAATGCTTCAGCACACATTTTCTAGGGTTTTTGTCATTCCTTTTAAATGAGATTAGTATTAAGGTCAATTAGGTATATATTTGAGATGAAAAAGGCCAGTGCTTTCGATAAATCTTGCCTCAAAACTCCCGCATTTGGAATAGCGCCCCCACTCTAAGTGCCCACTGTTGTGCATGATGCTTAGCAGTGTGAAGCAAAGACTGTAAACGACAGGCTCCTCCCAGAGTGCTTGTGATCTAGCTGTGCTTTACCTGTGCCCACTGATACAGCTGTTCCAACTGAGTTTTGTCTAGGTCAGAGGTACCTATCGCAACAATCTTTTTGCTCTGAACCAAGTTTTCTAATTCCTCCCAGTAAGGCTGTAAATGCTCCAAAGAGAGATTAACTCCATCTTCAATAGGAGGTGAAGCAATGATGACAGAATCCAGCTGTGCAACTCCAAGGACGGAACAGGCTGATGTGAAGGAAAACACAATAAGTATTTGCTACATAATAAAAACAAGTAATGTCTTTCAAGTATCCCACTAAATTCTGTCCATACCAGTTCACTAGTTTTCTAATATAGCAGATTATTTAATTCAGTTTCATAATTTACCTATCATTTAGAAAATTGCCATCTCTTAAAAAAGTTTAAGTCCCTGTTCATCTACTTGGTCTGTGTGGCAGACAGGCCAGTTTCTTTGACCTGCCTCCTTCCTAGGGACTCACAGCTCTGACAGTCCTTCTGGGGAACAGGCCTCCTTGTTTCCTAGGCCCCAGGAATTTTTTGGTAGCTTCTTTATCTTCATAAAATTTTCTTCTCCAGTTCTACTAGTATCTTGTATGGATGATCACAAGAATTCTGACCTCATATTCTGTAATTGGTAGTCATGGCAAAGAACAGTCTTTTTTTTTTTTTTAAGATTTTATTTTATTTGTTTGACAGAGAGAGGGAACACAAGCAGGGGGAGTGGGAGAGGGAGAAGCAGGCCTCCTGCGGAGCAGGGAGCCGGATGTGGGACTCGATCCCAGGACTCTGGGATCATGACCTGAGCCGAAGGCAGACACTTAACAACTGAGCCACCCAAGCACCCAAAGAACAGTCTTGAGACTCTGAAAAACTAAGTTTATGGTCCTAATCTACAGAGGTAGATAATTTAATTTCTGTAAAAATAATTTAAAGGGTTTATTTTAAATGATTATTGTCCATTCCATACTAATATTAAAGAGCTAATTATTTAAATGTTCAACACCTATAATACTGGAAGAATGTTTTAAAAGAAAACATGTTGAATAACTGTAATATCGCAATAATCTGACCAAGTGCAGAACAAAGATGAGAATGCTTGTTTTGTTGTTGTGGAGGTGGTGGTCATGGTGTTTCATCTACAGTACTACAAGGGCTAAGAATATGGTTAAGGAGAATTTCATCTCCAAACGTATAGTTAACAATTATGTTACAGCTTTTACGTTCCTCATATATATCAAAATATGAACCTATGTAAGTCGATATGATCTGACAGAAGCCTTAAGAAATCGGGCTAGAACTTTAGAAAGTAAAATTGGAATGAGCTCATCTTTTTCACCTGGTCCTGAACACAAGATATAACTGCTACACCTACACTAATTTAAAATTATGAAGGTAAAAAGTTAAATTTTTGCTTACCCATGTCAACTGCATTTCTAGTTGAGGATGAAGAGTTTGATCCTACAATGAAGAGTTTTGCTGGGTAACAAAAGAAAACAAAACTGATTACTAAATTTGGGTAACATTCTACTAGACAGTATTAACACTGCCAACAATACTAAGTTGACAGAGAATCCTGAATGAATTATTTTTCCTTTCCTAGTCACATAATTTTATAGTTTTCATTTTAAGACATGAAAGTACCTTTCCATTGTAATTTTTAAATTACATGCAAATTGCCAAAAAATATCCATTTGTAAAAAAAAAACCAAATATTAATTTTCCATTTGCTAGAAGGCAGGTCACATAAATATACAAATTACTCAAAATGTACATTTTTATGAATTAAATATTAATGGAACATATTATATACATTCTCCAATAAACTAAAATCAATAAAAGGCTAAGCTAAAACTGCTTGTAATGTGAAGAAAAACGAAAAGAAAAACCCCACGATCCCACCTTCCTAATATAACCATTTTAATTTTTAGACATTAGCTTCTAGCTTTTGGTCATATGAGGCAGGGTATAACATTTATTCTACTTCTGTTTAGTTTACCTTTATGTAATATTTTTTTACATCTTCAGTTTTCTTAACATTTTTTTATCATAATAGTAATATGTATTCATTCTAGAAATGAGAAAAACCGAGGGGTGGGTGGTTGGGGGATGAGGTAACTGGGTGATGGGCATGAAGAACGGCACATGATGTAACGAGCACTGGGTCTTATATAAGACTGATGAATCACTGAACTCTACCTCTGAAACTAATAATACATTATATGTTAATTAACTGAATTTAAATTTTAACAAATGGAAAAAAAAAGAGAAGTGAGGAAAACCCAAGAGTTTCTAGAAAGACTAAAAAAATTGCCAATAGTCTCATCACTGAAAGCAGTTTAGATTTTTGTATACTCTATTTTTAATGAATAATTTTACATACTCATTTTTTTTACTTTTAAGATTGTTATTTATTTATTTGACAGAGAGAGACACAGCGAGAGAGAGAACACAAGCAGGGGGGAGTGGGAGAGGGAGAAGCAGGCTTCCTGTGGAGCAGGGAGCCCAATGCAGGGCTCGATCCCAGGACCCTGGGATCATGACCTGAGCCGAAGGCTGACACTTAACCACTGAGCCACCCAGGCACCCCTACATACTCATTTTTAGTGGTTAAACATTATTCTGTAATTTTGATAGGGTATAACTCAAATGATTTCCTACTTTTTGAATATTTACATTAGTTCCAGTTTTTTGTTATCACATACAATGCTAAAATAAACATCTTGGTAACTTCAACTTTCTGCTGAAGCATTTTCCAAGGACAAATTGTCAGGAATGTGTATGAGTCAAAGGGTATGATCTTTTTTGTGAATCTTTTTTTTTTTTTTTAAGATTTTATTTATTTATTTGAGAAAGAGAGAGCATGAGCAGGAGGAGGGGCAGAGGGAGAAGGAGAGGCAGACTCCCCACTGAGCATGGCCTGATGTGGGCTCCATCCCAGGGCCCTGAGATCAGGACCTGAGCCGAAATCAGAAATTTAACTGACTGAGCCACCCAGATGCCCTGAATTTTGTTCTATTTTATTTACTTCCTACTTTTATATAAAAGACTTGTACCAGTTACCAGCCAACTAAAAGTTAAGAATTGCTCTCCTAACAATATACAACACTATCAAAAATATATATAGTTTTTGCTAATTTAGTATGTACAATATATATCTGTCCAGGACTGCATTAATTGGCATTTCTTTGGTTACCAGGAAAGCTGAGTAGTTTTCTATTAAAATTGATGCTTTAACTTGATTCAAACTCAAATTTATTTATATAGATTTACTTTATGTAAATTCACTGTTCAAAATCTAAATTTACTCAGTAGACAAACAGGTAGAGTAGTAGTAGAGAAAATCAGAAAAGGGAATGCAAAGAAAAGAGGGCTAATGAACTATGTATATGTCAATTGCCTGGTATTCAACAAACATAACAAATTTACCTTGTACATTTATTTGTCCTTTCCTTTCTACTACTAGATAATCTTCCTAAAGCACTGCTTTCCTTACTCGACTTCTCTATTTAAAACTCATCACCACTCCCCTACCAACCAGGTGAGAGTCAATCTTCACCACTTTAATCCATCCATAGTTCCCATAATTATACTCCATGAAAACCCTCCTTTACCACTATCCCTCTGGCCATGAATTTGTGCCATTTGAAATGGTCCTTCTCTGGAATGAGAGGCATTCTTAGATAGGTAGAGAAAGGAAAGCTCTTCATATGGGGAGAATTTTGATACCTATCAAAAATCTCAAGCCCCCTAGGAACTGAGGTCAACCTGTAAGAGCTCCAAGATGGATCTAAACCATGAGGAATTACAATCAACCGCAGAGAGGAGGTTGCTTTTAATTGCTTTCCAACACAAATAACAATGTGAAATTAATAGAAAGAAATGGGTTTTGGAGTCAGGCATACGTGGATGGATTCCTGGTTCAACCACTTACTGGTTATAAGACAACTTTCAAGTTATTTAACGTCACTTGTGCAATGGGGATAATAGACCTACCTTGTAGAATTGTTTTGAGAATCATGTGAAGAAATATAACCAAAATGTGCTAAGTACAGTGCCTGGTACAAAACAAGACTCGATAAATGGTAGTTGAGTTAAAAAAAACAATGCCGTATGTATCTCATCTTACATGTCCATCTTAATAAAATATAACAACCAAGACAAAACTACAAATGGTAACAAATCACAGCTACTTAGCACATAACTTTTTGCCAACCGCTGTGCCAAGTGCATTTTTTGTGTTATTTCATCTAATTTACAAAGAAGCCTGTGAAACAGATGCATCCCTATTTTACAGATGAGAAAATGAGGCTCAAAGAGGTCAAATAACTTGTTAGCCCAAGATTATACCAGTCACTAATCTGCATACTGAGGAATTTTGATCTAGTTAAGTTCAAGCTTTTAATGACTATGCTATGCTGACAGTAAGATGAGGGCAAGAACAGCCCATCTCTTTATTTTTTCATTCCTTGAGGTTGGCATGGTCTCTGGTGAATAGTGACTTGATACATTTGTTGAATGGGTATATCATGGATTTTATTTCTCTTCGTGCAACTTGTTGCCCAGACTTTGGTCTACACTCCCAGGTGACTTCAGCCATTGCTCAGCAGTGTTCCACCAGGAAGGGAGGACCTATGCTTGCTTTGGATAGACACTGCTCTTAAGCCTTCCCTTTATTCTTTCCATCTCCTCCATCTTAATATTCCTGAAGTCCGACATATAAATTAATGAGACCATCATGAAGAAAAGGAAGGTGAAGTCCTCTTCTGACTCCTCTTAAGTAGCCAAAACTGACCTCCTATAACCTCCTCTTGGGAGTTTATATTATGTTTAAGAAGAATCTTTAGGGACGCCTGGGTGGCTCAGTTGGTTAAGTGTCTGCCTTCCCAGGGTCCTGGGATGGAGCCCCACGTCAGGCTCCCTGCTCAGCGGGGAGCCTGCTTCTCCTTCTCCTCCCCACTGTGCTCTCTCTCTCTTGCTCACTCACTCTCTATCTCAAATAAATAAATAAAATCTTTAAAAAAATAAAAGAATCTTTCTATTTCTCACACTTAGTGACTGAGTCACTCATTACCAGAAGCAAAGAAAGGCTTATTCCCCCTGCCTGACAAAACCTATCATTTCCACTGTATAACAAAATAAATTGTAAAGGCTGGACTTTACCAGAAACTTTCATTTCTTCTCTTTCATCAGGATTTATCTTTTCTACTGCATGAGATACGGTACATTCCAAGACATCTGGAAATTCCTATAACAAACAACGTTTACAGTAAATATAAAACTAATGTTTTTAATTAGCTATATGTTTTCTATTGTCCATATGCCCTTTAGAAACAGAGAACCCATAAGATAACAGGGTTCTTTACCTGATGTCTGGATGGGCTTCATAAGGTTTGTAAAGCCCTGAAACAAAGGTAAAATGCTGTGTATCCATTTTCTGGGGAAAAGGATCTCATTTTGATCAGGTACTCAGAGGAATGCAAACAAATGGTGATGGTGGGGGCAGCATTCGAGGAGTTATAACCACTAACATAGTACATAATTTTACTTAAAAACGAAACCAATGAAAATATTTACCTATTCTGCGTAAGGACATGTTAAAAGCTTCCTATATTAATCACAAACATTTTAAACCAAGACTTTTTTTCTGAGTGCAATAAAAAAGTAAAGGCAATTCTAATGCATTATAATTAATAATTTATGAGGAAAATGGTAAGATGTTAGTATATATAAATCAGAAACACATTAACTCACATTTACAAGATTAAAACAGTAAACAGTGAGGCCTTTCCCACAATTCTTGAGCATATTACAATGCCTGGCACATATCAAGGGCTTAGTGTTTGTCAGTCATGCATAAATGGAGGCAAACGGTCATTTCAGAGAAACAGAGACTGATAGAAGACATTAATCAACATCTGCCTAGCAGCTATGGAGTTTAAACTTGCTGAATGCCCATGGCAACAACTGTTTCCAGCGCATGTCCTTGTCCATAGTTTTAAAGTAGTCGATGTAATTTGTTATGAGCCTTTGGCTGAGTTGGATTCCAAAGAGTGGTTTGCAGACAGGTGGTCTGTATATTAACATTTATGATAAGTCATTTATTAACATTTAATGAAACACCCAGTGTTTCCCTCAAAACTGACATTAAAATAATTATTTCTAGTGACTATATTATTATGATACTCTACCGAAGCAATTTAACAACCAAAACTGTTAAACAGTCATTTCTTTATTAGACCAAATATAAACTGGAACACAGTGAAGAAAGTGTGATGGGAATTAAGCACAGAGAATCCTGGTATCTAGTCTAGTTGAAGAGTTGGTGACACATCCTGGATTTTCTGTTTTATGCTTAAGCATACTGGGTCAGACAGCCATCTAAGTAAATCAGCCACAGGGAATTTTGTGCTAATTGCCTATTTGATTTCCCTGTCAAAACTGGGGAAATTAATTTCCTGCTTACTGCACTTCCCTTTTTGACCTACATGATTTCTTCATCCACATTTTACTCACCCTGACCAAATCAGGGCTGATTTGGGAGCTCCACTCGTTCAAGGTCTTTTGGATACAATCTCGAAGCTGTAAAAGGAATGCATTTTGAAACTGTTAATCAAACTCTATACACTTTTCTGTACTTCTACAATAAGAATATATTAGTTTGGTAAGTTGGAAAAAGAAGATGTGAACAGGAAAAACCGTAAAAACCAAAATTTTAGTTCTACAAGGTTTTTGTTTTCTTCGACAAAGACAAGTTTAGATCTGTTTTTATCTTTTTTTATAAAATGTTTTATTTATTCATGAGAATGAGAGAGAAAGAGAGGCAGAGGCAGAGGGAGAAGCAGGCTCCCTATCCAGCAGAGAGCCCGATGCGGGACTCAATCCCAGGACCCTGGGATCATGACCTGAGCCGAAGGCAGACGCTTAACCATCTGAGCCACCCAGGTGCCCCTAGATCTGTTTTTATCTTAATCTTCAAATGTTGATGTAATACAGTAATCTATTTTTAAAGTGTCTTTGTACCAGTGAAAGTTTAAGTAAGCCTTTGAGACATAAAAGCATTCACAACGAAACAAATAAAATTTTTCAAGAATAAGGTTTATAAATAGAGGAACGTGAGTTCAAGCCCAGGGAGCCTGACTAAAATTAGTATTAACCACTATGAGATAATCCTCAAAGACAAATAAATGATTGTCTAAGTGTGGCCCGAGGAACTCCATTATTCACCTGCGGTGTTCATTAAAAATTCCAGTTTCTGAGCCCCATCCTAGACCTGCTGAATCTCTCTAAGGGCAGCAGAATTTGCATTTTAACAAGCATCTCAAGAAATCAACATGTAAAGTCTGAGAACTACCACAGTCCTATCTTACATAAGTCAACTTGCATAATGTCAGCCCATGTGTCATTTCCTACCACTTAGGTATACCTCCAACCCGTCTTCAATGTGTTCTTATACAAACAAATAAAACTTGTTTACACTAACATTACAACATATGTTGTAAATCCATTAAACTGTTCATGCAACTTTCATCCCTTATGTCGGTGTATTTCAAACTTGTCTGATAGAGCTCCAAAGTAAGACCTACATACATTCACATATAGGGTAAGGACCTAAATAAATAGAACAAAAAATTTATAAAATGGTATGTTCACTACATGCTAGGCACTCTGATGGCTTCTATTAATTAGAAAAAAACCATGCTGTTCTATGGCTCACCAAACTGACTTACGACCACTAATGGGCAACACTAGCAATATGAAATCACTACCTTATAAACATCCAAGGACACAGTGCTTTGCATTCTGTGGGCAATCATTGAAAAAATAAATGAGTAACTGGGATCAAGTCCCTAAACTGCAAAAGCACTTTCTTAATAGCAATAACACAGACTAAACTTCGGAACTCACTGATCTATGATTGCTTATGATACAAACTGACACAGCACTTTACTGCTTTTATCTTACTACAGATAATTACAAGGGACAACTGGTTTATCAACTTAAGAGCTCAGAGTCATCTACATTAAGCTTCATAAGCCACAACAAAAACTTATGTGCTGTCCACAATAATCCACATGAATTCAATCTACAAGGTCTCTATCTTCATGGAAAATATATTTATAATCAAATTTAAGATATTAAATAAAAATTAGTTGATAATTATTCCAGACAGAATTACAAGTCAATATTCTTTTCAAAAATGGTAAAAGTTGGGGCAGCAGGACTAAAAGTTAACAATTCTATCAGGAGTGCTTTGGCTCAAATCATGGGAGAATTTTAAGAAATTTTCCTCTGGGGGTGCCTGGGTGGCTCAGTTGTTGGGCGGCTGCCTTAGGCTCAGGTCGTGGTCCCAGGGTCCTGGGATCAAGCCCCACATCGGGCACCCTGCTCGGCAGGGAGTCTGCTTCTCCCTCCGCCGCTCCCTCTGCTTGTGTTCCCTCTCTCGCTGTGTCTCTCTCTGTCAAATAAATAAATAAAATCTTAAAAAAAAGAAATTTTCCTCTGGAAGGATAGCTCACTTGCATACTTAAGGCTTTCCTGATAAAAAGCCCAATTCAGGAAGGTAAGTATATTTTCAGAGTATTCACCCCCTTCTTGAAACCACTTAATCTCGGATTCTATAAAATGTCAGGACAAATCACAGAACAGTCAATGTTACGATGAGAAATTCATTGACTGTATCACAAACCTAATGATTTCTAATCTTTTATATGTTATCTATATTGACTGAACATTAACCTTGTATTTTGTTCTCAGTTCTCTTCATTTTTATCATATACACATAGGATCACTGAAGTAAGTATCATCATAATGTAGTGTATCATTAGACCTGGAGCCATATAAAAGTTTTACATGTACTACATGATTCATCTGGCCAAATACTCTTACAACAAAGAACTGAGCAAAACAGTCCTATAACGGCTCATTTAAAAAACAAGATTTGATTTCATAAAGTTCTAGTGAAAATATTTTTTAAAAAGATAATGGAATTTAAAAAAACATCCACATTAGAACTAGAAGAGACCTTTTAGGAAACCGAACTCTCTACTTAATGTGTAAATTTTCTTAATAATGAGTGATTTATTCAGTTTCTTTATTCTACAAGCCTAAACCATTTCAAGTAGCATATCCCAATCTGGAGCTCTGTTTGTTACAAAGTTTTGTTTTGTTTTGTTTTACAGGGAAACAAAACATGTCTCTCCTTAACTAAACTGTCCTATTTTCCTACAATATGCTGCCCTATTTTCAAGTTTTCCTCAAATGTTTTCTAGCTTATTTTGTCCCTCTTATGTAGCAGCTCCCCCCCCAAAACAAACTAGAATTAGTCCTTTGAACAATGTTTTTCAAACTGTGGAGTGTGACTCATTACATTAAGAAACAGTTTTAAAAAATTAAAATAGGATAGAAAAAATGATAATACACAGTATATACTAAAGGTTAATATCTCCATTAAACCTTTGAGATATATTTTTTAACAGCTTTATTGAAGTATAATTTACGCACAAAATTCACTTATTTTAAGTGCACAATTCAATGCTTTTTAGAGAGCTTTTTGTAAAGAGTTTTACAGAGCTCTGCAGCCATCACCACAATCCAATTTTAGAACATCTTCATGTGCCCACTAGCCGTCACTACCCATTCTTACCCCAGCCCAAGGCAACCACTCATCCTACTTTCTGTCCTTATGGACTATGAACTAGACTGCAAGGTAAAATTTCTTACTGGGTTTGCCAAAGTCAAAAGAAGGCCACTACTTTAAAGTGTGTTGTAGTGAAACAAGAGAGCAAAAATTTCACCCAATATTGTCAATACATTTGGAAAATGGTGTACTGAACCCAGCAGCTCTGGGAGGAAATTGAAAGAACAGAACTAAATACAGAAATATTTATTTGGGGGAGAAATAGTCTAAGTGGGGTGGCTTAAACAAAAAAGGCATACAAACTGAGATGGATGGAACCTGGTCACAGAATATGGTACAGATTTTGGTTCCTATTAAAGTTACAACTAAGGGTTCTCATCTGATGGGTGCTCACAGGCCCGGAGCATACTCAGAGGGACGTCATGTGCTCCTGCATAGTGTATCATCAACGTCTCATATAAAAGAGCAAAAACTGCTTAGGAGTACAGCTGATATAATATGGCATAGGACAGTTTTTCTTTTAATCAAGATTTGTTTAAAATCTTTGATAAAAAGGGGTGCGTGGGTGGCTCAGTCGGTTAAGCGTCTGCCTCAGCTCAGGTCATGATCCGAGGGTCCTGGGATGGAGCCCTGCATCGGGCTCCCTGCTCAGCGGGAGGCCTGCTTCTCCCTCTCCCTCTGCTTGCCGCTCTGCCTACTTGTGCTCTATCAAATAGATAAATTCTTAAAAAAAAATTAAATAAAATCTTGATAAAAAGGGAGATAAATGCCTCCATGGTGAGTGTTGTCCTATATTCTCTCTTTTAATTCTCACAGTGAGCCGATGAAGACCGTTATCATTACTCAGCTTCACAGTTGTGTAAACAGACTCAGGGAAGGTAACTTTCCCAAAGTCACACAGCTCCTAAATTAAAGGTTTGTTTTTATTCAGTTATTTTTCAGTACCCAAACCGTCTTATACCGCCTATATGCCTCCGCAATTCACTGGGCACCCTGACTCTCCACCCAGGAATGGCCAGCTGCGGACCGAGTATGTATCACATGGATAATTCCAGATTAATCTCTGCCACCTCAAACTAGTGATTAGTCTTCAGGCAAATACACTGAGGCAGATTAATCTTCAGCAAGAAAAACGCATACCTCATTCCAAAGCCGAATTTGAGCCTGGAGTCCTGTGCCGCACAGCAACAGAGAAACTACTGTCAACAGCCTCAGAGCTAAGTGAACTATTACTACTACCTTCACCTGAATCCTGCAAAAGCGAATCTCTTATTAAACTATGTCTTCACCCGGCCGCGGTGTGGGGGGAGGGGGGGCCAGAGGCTGGGGTAGGCTGGGAGGGAGGTGCTGGTCTTCCCTGCACCCCCCTGACCCCCGCAACGAAGAGGGGTCCGGCGCGTTCGAGAGGTCGGCTGTCGGCCTGGAGCACTGACGGAGACGTCCCTCGGGATGAAGCTGCACCTGCCAAGTGTTTGAAGGCGCGCGGCCCCCAGCTGCAGGTTTAGGAGGCGACGTCGCAACCCCAGCGGCCCCAGCCTCCCCGCGCCGGTGGAGCCCAGGTGCGCGCCTCACCCCGCGCCCCGAGCCCGCCCGCCCGCCTGTCCCTCCGGGCGCTGCTTCCCTTTGGGAGCCGCCCGACCCCGCGGCCTGCCCCGGGAGCCCCGCGTCTCTCACCTCCTCGCTGTGCGTGGACGGGCACTTCTTCCGCAGGCGACCCCAGTTCAGCAGGTTCCCGGTCTGCAGGTGCAGGGTGCGGGCCCGCGCCAGCAGCGCCCCGGCCGCGCGGCTGTCGGTGCCCATGGCAGCGGCCGACGGAGGGGGGCCAGGCGGCGACGGCGCCGCAGGCGAGGGAGGCCGCCTTGCAGGACGCGGTGCCCGAGGCCGGAGAGCCGAGCGCGAGGCTGGCCGCCCCACGCGGCGGGACCTCAGCCTGCGCTCGGGACCTCTGGAGGCCGGACTGGCGGAGCTGCGGCCCGGGAAGGACGCGCTGGCCGCGGCGGCTGCTGCTGCTACTGCGGCCGCCGCCGGAGAGTTGACTCCCAACTGAAGGGACCGTTTCCTGGAAGACAATGACTAAGCAGAAATCGCGGCTAAGAAAGTGCTTGGTAACCGTTACCCGTCCCGCCGCCGGGCCGGGCGGGGCGGGGCGGCGAGGAAGCTGCGGGACGCCCGCCCGCGGGTGACTGGCCCTTGGCCTGTGGCGGGCGTGGCGCCGGGCGGCGGGCGGGCGGGCGCGCGGCGGAGAATGCGCGGGGCGCGCGGGGCGGGGCGGCGTGGGACCCGGCGCTCGGCAGGGCGCCCCCTGCCGGTCAGAGGACGGTGCGCAGGCCCGTGCCCCCTCCGCCTAGCGTCGCCGGCGGCGCTAGCTGTCTCGCCTCCCAGCCAATGGGCGGTCGCGCTGATGATTTCCTTCCCCACCTCTTTAAAAGGACAGCGAAAGCCGCTACCAAGGCTTTGAAATACTAGCTGGTTTTAGTTCTCAAAAGCGGGTGTTAAGACAAAGTGCCCCTTCATTGCTTTTTTTTTTTTTAAAGATTTTATTTATTTGAGAGAGACAGAGAGAGAATGAGAGAGAGAGCACGAGAGGGAAGAGGGTCAGAGGGAGAAGCAGGCTCCCTGCCGAGCAGGGAGCCCGATGTGGGACTCGATCCCGGGACTCCAGGATCATGACCTGAGCCGAAGGCAGTCGCTTAACCAACTGAGCCACTCAGGCGCCCCCTTCATTGCTTTTTTACCCTCTTAGTTCATTTTCTTTCTCAAGGTCTTTCTCTCCCCCCTCCCCCCCGAACTGCGCGTTTTTTTCCATGTTCATTGATTACAGGACTTACACTATTTGCTGGACAGTGTGTGAAGTCAATGAGTAAGACTTAATCTTTGCCTTAAAACTCTAGTTCCAAAGATAAGGCCTAAGCATATGAAAGAGTATCTTAGGGCAGTTTCCAAATGAGTTCAGATTAAAGGGAACACTTCATCCGGTGAGATCAGGGAAGATTTTATCTGCCATTCCCTTAGAGATGGTTGTGATTCTTTACTCCTATTAAATTTCATATATGGTAGACTTGGTATGAATCTCAAGTTGAACATTTATTGAGCTTTCCTCAAGAAACTTTTACCTTTGTTAGAAGATATCAGCTATATTAAAAGGCAAAATGCTATTATAAAGGATAAATTCCAGTTGGTAAGAATTCAGGGTGAAGTGAAAAAGAAGCTCCTTCTAGTAGGTGGTTAGAGATTGAGCCTGATTTTGAGTGAATATTTGTTGGCTGAATGAAGGTAAGAATTCTTTGAAGAGAAGGGTATGCCAGAAGCAGGAACAAGCATGGGGTATTTTAATGTAAATATTTGATCTTTATGCTGAATTTTCTGTGGCATTATTTTTTTGACTTGTATTCTCTAATACCACGGACATAATTCGTGATTAAAACTTAGAGGGTGGGGTCGCCTGAGTGGCTTAGTAGTTAAGTGTCTGCCTTCTGCTCAGGTCATGATCCCAGGGTCCTGGGACTGAGCCCCACATTGATGGGGCTCCTGCTCAGCGGGAAGCCTGCTTCTCCCTCTCCCACTCCCCCTGCTTGTGTTCCCTCTCTCGCTGTCTCTCTCTCTGTCAAATAAATAAAATCTTTAATAAAAAATTAGAGGTTGTACCTCCTAAAGTATTAGACCTGCTTTCTTGCTGGGAATTTATATAGCATATTGGTCATGGACATAAAGCTGTGTGGCTTGAAAACCTGACTTTACCAGGTACTGGCTATTTTAACTTAGGTCACTTAGTCTGTTTCGCTTTCTCCAATCTGGGCCAGATGATAGTTTAAACCATACGAAATTGCTGATAATTGACCATTTTTGACCTACAGAAATGGCTAGGTGCCATGGTTCCACCTGATATAGTGTTTACCACATTGAGTAGGATTGAGGAATTAGCTTACCAAAAGCCCTTAGTAGAATATTTGGATCATAGTAAAGAGAGCTCCTATTATTAATGCCTCCGCTCTTTCCCCCTTACAATCCAGTTCTCGTAACATTGGCAAATTCATGACATGAAATCACAGCACCATTGTGTTATGTTTTTAAAATTCACATTATGTAAACTGATTTACTCTTCATAGCAATTCAGATAAATAACTTATTGAAAATCTCACTATCAGTAAGTGTTGGGGCCCCAATCAAAACCTAGATCGCTTATTTTCAAACTCCTTACTCTTGCATGCTACAATTTACTTTTAACACAAAAAGTGTATTTATTGAGGTGATTTTAATTCTTGAATGTGTGTGTCATGATTTATATGCTTTTTATGCCTGTACAGCTTTTTTTAAAAAACTATATATTATACTTACTGATGCTCTTGTCATAGATCCATAGTTTTGAGAAAGGGAAACATAATCTTCTAAATTTATTTGGTGACAAAAACAAAAAATGAAACATCAGAGAGCTTTATTGTATACAGTTATTTTGAAGGAATCTTATCTATAGAGGAGGAGTAATATTGCTGACATTTCCATCTTTGGGAATAGTGTGATTTAGGTTTTACATGCTTTAAAATTCTTCAGCAAATGTTGTTTGTAAATGTAAAAGTCACTAACATCCACCGCTCTTTTTTTCATTCTCTCTGACCTCTCCAGGATCTGATACTACTGTCCATGTTCCCTTTGAGAACCACTCTCCTCAACTGGCTTATAATACGCTGCACCCTGGTTTCCTCAATATATTTGATCACAGAACAATTTAAAAAATCATAATGAACTGTTGGAAGCCCAACAGGAGCTCATGAGCTGTAAGTGTTTAAATTTAAAGCAAACAGCAAAAATGGTCTCATGGATGAATTGTTACAGGAAGTGATCACATTTTTATTCATAGTCTGTTTCACTTTATACAAGAATAAACAAAATGTGAGAACTAAAATTCATTTTACCTTATTAAGGGATCACCTGGTGCATCTTATTCTTAATACGGTAAAATGGATTTAAATTATCAAATTTTGGTTTAATATTTTATGCAATTGATTTTAAATTTAATAATACATTATTATATGATTCTTCATAACAGAAAATATAGTACATAGATGTTTATCTCATCCATATTAAAAAGAACCTAATACTCCGTTATATGAATATCTATAATTTATTTAGATAAATTATATCTGTATTTAATGGCCAGGTAGGTTGCTTTTAGGCTTTTGCTAGAATAAACACTGTGGCCATACACATTCTTAGTACTTGTCTATTTGTACATGGGGGAACATTTTTCTCCAATAACTACATGTTACGTGTTACTATCTTCAAGGGTGTACATATTTAATAGCTACTGCTGAACCAATTTACACGCAAATCTAAATTGTGTAAGACTACCTATTTCCTCCCACAATCACTAACACTAGATATTATCCGTCTCTTCAGTTTTTGCCAAGCTGATGGGTAAGTGTATCTCGTTATTCTTTGATTACTGGTAAGATTTCATTGTTTTATGATATATTGTGATCATACTCTAAGTGATTCTTCATGCCTTTAAAATTAATATTGTATCATAAGCATTTTTCTCAGGTTATTATACTGAATTATTTTCCAGTCTCTGTTGACACACAGACAAGAACATAGCTAATTCTTGTCAATTTTTTTTGGCCTTAAAACATGTTTAATCAAGGCGGCTAGCATATGTCTGTTGCCAGTATGTAACCCCTGGAGATGAACAGGCTTTTAGCAAGAGGTAATTTAGACATGTTTAAAAAAATTTCCAAGCCAAGCTTTTTCTCTCTTGGTTCCTGTTTCTGTAGCAATTCCAATGGGGTATGTTGGACAACATTCCAGGAAGGGCTGGAGGCTGTAGTTCAATTACCCAAGTGGTGGTTTGCCTGTGGGACCCAAACTGTGGTCGGCCTCACTGCTGTAGGAACTCCATGCTACATTGTTTCATAATGTGCTCAGTGGTAGAAATCTTCCATTGGCACTCAATCCCCAAATTCCTTCTAAGGTGCCTCCTGTGTGACAGAGCCTGGAAGCTAAACACAGTAATTCTCAGCATCCCTTGCAGGTCTCCTTCCAGGTAAAAATTAGGTTATGTCAATTCCATGTGCTAGTTTTAGATTTCAAAGGTAGAAATGTGTTGGAGAGCATCTTCCTGCATCTTCAGCTGTTGAGTTTTGCAACAGCCACACTCTGATGTCCTATCCCCAGCTTTACAGGTGTCAGGAGGCAGTTTCGGCCACTTACTGATCCCTGGATCAAAGCAAGAGTAATTCAGTGGCAGTCTTCTGATGGCTCCCCCTTCTTATTATGACACAGGATGAGCTCTCCTGGAAGGACACTTGGTTCAGCAGTGTCGTTCTCAGAGTTATTCCTAGAGGCCCAGTCCAGAGCTTGTTTGTCCAACCTTCAGCTTTGTAAGCACCTAACTCCCTGTAGGAAATATCTTCTGCTTAAAATAGAGTGGTTTCTGTTCCTGCAGTTGAACCCAGGCTGATACCATTTCTGTTCTTATAATCACATTTGAACTGTATTACTACATTGAAAACGTAAAATAAAATTTTTTTCTCATCTCTGATAAACATCATTCTATAATTTTTAAGTGTCCTTTGTTATAAAAGTTTACACATTTGGGCAAGGTGCCAACTTTGTGTACTGGAAAGAGCAGCTATAAGTACAACACACACATATTTTTTTAAGATTTTATTTATTTATTGGGCGGAAGAGAGAGAGAGAGAGAGAGAGAGAAAGCACTAGTAGGGGGAAGGGGCAGAGGCAGGGGGAGAAGCAGGCTCTCTACTGAACAGGGAGCCCGACTCGGGGCTCGATCCCAGGACCCTGAGATCATGACCTGAGCTGAAGGCAGACGCTTAACCGACTGAGCCACCCAGGCGCCACTATGACACACATATTTTAAATATATTTTTATATAAAAATATGATAGCAAAGTTCTAGGAAGATTAAAAATAGGGAAAAACTCATAATTCTGATGTGCATTTTGAGGATTATATTCATAGACAGATGAATGATAGATGATGGCTAGCCCGAGAAACCATCTAGTAGAATTGTTAAGAGAGCAAGAACATTGTATCAGATAACTTTAGTTCAAAGCCAGGCTCCAATGCTGGGCAGCAGCAGAGGTTTGGGTAAGTTTTTAATTCTCTCTAAGCCTCAGTTTTCTCATCCAGAAAATTGGGCTAACATTAGCACTCAATTCATACAGTTGTTATGTAAATGAGATAATATATGTAAAATTCTTA